TAAATATAAAAGACTTTATTGTGGTGAATAACATGAGCTGTAGGAAAATCCTTAATAATTAACAACAGAATTTAATTGACCTCAATATCACTGATAACACAAAATTTACAATGATCCATGAAATGGTAACACAAAATTCACAATGATCCATGAAAAAACTTTATCCTGCTATTTGTTTTTCTTATCTTAAAGCAGTGCTGAACCAGCATGGCTCTTCCTCATCTACTTACACAATTATGCTTTTGTTTCCACTTAATTATTTTCTTGTTTTTTTATTTCTGTGTTGACAATGTGTGGATTTTAAACTCTCAAGCTTGGATTTTGCACCTTTTGCTTTTTCCCATTCTTGTTTTTAGAATCTTCAAAATTTCCTGCTCGTTTTCTATTATTGCTTTTTGTGTCTTTAGAATTCTTCAATGAAATATTATCACTGCTGTGTTTCTCACGCAAGGGTGCAGCATTTGCTTCATCACAATTTTTAATAGTGCTGAAAAAAAAAAACAACGTTGAATGTAATGAAACACCATTTTCTGGGTGTGACCTGGAGGCTCCCCAGAGCTATACAGGCTGATATGCTAATGTCAGACTTTGGCATCAGTCATGTGTATGGAGTTCTGTGAGCCTACCGTGGACCACGAGCCAGAACCTGGCCCCCTCGGAGAGGCAAGGGGAGCAATGGCCTATAGAAACCCCCGTGTGGTTGGAAGCATTCTATGTCTGCCATCGACCAGATCAGGCACCCAGAAAGGTAAGCATCCCAAAACAAACCCCTATTCTGGTTAAAATTGCTACCTAATGCCAAACTAGTGGATAGAACTCCCCAAAAGAAACAAGCAAACTAGCATGATGTCACACATCGCCGCGCCGCTGTTTGCACAGCTCCCCCCTCCCAGGGAGAGGGAAGGGGGAGCCCCAGACCCCCAAGCCAGCAATCCACACCCCAGTTCTGAGGCTGGATGTCAAGAAAATGCAAAAAACTTCGACCGGAGGGAGGGAGGGATGCCGGGGGGCCTCCGGGTCACACCCAGAAAAATGGCGTTTCATTACATTAAACGCTGGTTTTCTGGGCGGGAGCCCTGTCAGCTCCCCGGAGCTAACTACCCACAGCGGAAAGTAGAGGAACTCATCAGGGAGGCGGTCGCTGCATGCTCCACAACGCAAAACTGAGACAACCGGCTGCAATGATGCCGTCCCAAGGCGACACAGGCCCGACTAGGCCCAGGAACGTGTACAAGAAAACAAGCAACCAGGACCCCTTTCAACCGCCTCCCCCCTCCCCTCCCGGGGAGGGGGGAGATGCGCTGACAGCGGCGCGGTGACGTGTGACGTCATGCTAGTTTACTCGTTTCTTTTTGGGGAGTTCTATCCACTAGTTCGGCGTTGGGTAGCAATTTTAACCAGAATAGGGGTTTGTTTTGGGATGCTTACCTTTCTGGGTGCCCGATCCGGTTGATAGCAGACAGAATGCTTCCAACTACACGGGGGTTTCTATAGGGCCATTGTTCCCCTTGCCTCTGAGGGGGGCCAGGTTCTGTCTCGTGGTCCCCTATAGGCCCACAGAACTCCATACAGATGACTGATGCCAAAGTCTGACATTAGCATATCAGCCTGTATAGCTCCGGGAAGCCGAAGGGGCTCCCCCCAGAAAAGTAAATAAAATATTAATAAAAAGTAATACAAATGTATATTTAATACATGATTAAATAAGGATAGAAACAGAGTGGTGTAATAAGCACAATGAGTATAATGAGTTCAAGCTACTTGCTACTTCAAGTAGTACATGCTACAGTAATTAATATAGGCTGGTAATGTATTATTTGTTTTTATTTTAACTAAGTTGGCTATCAAAACTCTTCAAGCCTTAAAAAACCAGCGTTGAATGTAATTAAACGCCAGTTTCTGGGTGAGCCCTGTCGGCTCCCTGAAGCTATCCTACTGATATAGTGCTAAATTAGTTGGGGTCATCAGTCGCAGGTTAAGTCATTTTTTTTTTTGCACCATTTTTAAGATGCAGAGAGCTATGACCACTTTACATTTAAAGTAATGTATGTCATATTTTGCCATCTACCAGCGAAGGCACCCTCAACGGTAGGCAAATCAATACAGACCACTGTCAGATTAAAACTGTGAGCTATGTCCTCAAAATTGCAAAAAAAAAATCCCCTATAAAGAAAACAAACAAGCAACACGTCATCCAACTAGCCCCCTTGCTCATTAGCACTACCTCCTCATGACCTGGCAGTCTGAATGGAGCTGGATCACCGAGTCCCAAAGAACACTGCCACAGCGGTGGAAGTGGCAGAATCCTCCACAGCGGAGGATTCTCCAGAGGATTCTCCACTGAATCCTCCACATCGCCAGCCACACTGGAGAAAAAGTTCAGGCTCCCATACAGCTGCTTGAACAACCGCCGAGTAACCTGGGACCCCCACAAAAACAGCCAATGGCGGGACTGCAACTGGAGCAAGGCTATAGGAGGGGAAAGGGATGCTGTGCAAGAGTCCCACACATGGTCCAGCCAAGTCCGAACATGGTCCAGCCAAGTCCGAACATGGGCCAGAACCAACTGGCACTTCCATCCACTGTCAGGAGACAGTGGACAGGCAGGTGGTGGCATGAGTAGGCGAGCTTCCTGCTAGGACTAACACAGGAGCTGGTCACCCCCGGTCCCTCCCCAGGACCCCCCCCCATCCCACAAACCAGTCCCTCCCTGCTACCTACATCCCCCTATCAAGCACCCTACCCAATACCTCCATCCCCTCATCCCCCCCCAGTGACCCCTTCCCCAGCTGTACCCCTCCCAGCCATACTGACTTAATACAGTGGGCTTCCTTGCTACCAGCTGATAGATCAGGAGGCAGACTCCCCGAGCGCTTGACATTAAACTTATTGATTGCTGACTGACTGGTTGCGACTGTGAAAGCCTGATTGACTGTGAATGCGTGACTGACCATAAATGCTTAACCGGTTGCTACTACAACTGTGAATGCTTGACTGCCTTTGGTTATGACTGCCTGTGACTAGTCATGACTGTGAATGGATTGACTGACATGTGACTGACTGACTGGTTCTGACTGGCTGCCACATAACAGAGGCAGTGAAATGTGTGAAAAGGAAAATCTGGAACAAGTAATACAGATATGAAAGCATTTAAGGTGAGCAGGGGATGGTCTCACCTCTTCTTCACCCTCCCTATACACCAACACCGCTCCTCCCTCCCTCCCTCCTCACTGTCTCCCATATGCCAACACTGCTCCTCCCTCCCTCCCTCCTCACCATCTCCCATATGCCAACACTGCTCCTCCCTCCCTCCCTCCTCACCGTCTCCCATATGCCAACACTGCTCCTCCCTCCCTCCCTCCTCACCGTCTCCCATATGCCAACACTGCTCCTCCCTCCCTCCCTCCTCACCGTCTCCCATATGCCAACACTGCTCCTCCCTCCCTCCCTCCTCACCGTCTCCCATATGCCAACACTGCTCCTCCCTCCCTCCCTCCTCACCGTCTCCCATATGCCAACACTGCTCCTCCCTCCCTCCCTCCTCACCGTCTCCCATATGCCAACACTGCTCCTCCCTCCCTCCCTCCTCACCGTCTCCCATATGCCAACACTGCTCCTCCCTCCCTCCTCACCATCTCCCATATGCCAACACTGCTCCTCCCTCCCTCCCTCCTCACCGTCTCCCATATGCCAACACTGCTCCTCCCTCCCTCCCTCCTCACTGTCTCCCATATGCCAACACTGCTCCTCCCTCCCTCCCTCCTCACTGTCTCCCATATGCCAACACTGCTCCTCCCTCCCTCCCTCCTCACTGTCTCCCATATGCCAACACTGCTCCTCCCTCCCTCCCTCCCTCCTCACTGTCTCCCATATGCCAACACTGCTCCTCCCTCCCTCCCTCCTCACTGTCTCCCATATACCAACACTGCTCCTCCCTCCCTCCCTCCTCACTGTCTCCCATATGCCAACACTGCTCCTCCCTCCCTCCCTCCTCACTGTCTCCCATATACCAACACTGCTCCTCCCTCCCTCCCTCCTCACTGTCTCCCATATACCAACACTGCTCCTCCCTCCCTCCCTCCTCACTGTCTCCCATATGCCAACACTGCTCCTCCCTCCCTCCCTCCGTCACTGTCTCCCATATGCCAACACCGCTCCTCCCTCCCTCGCTCCTCACTGTCTCCCATACGCCAACACCGCTCCTCCCTCCCTCGCTCCTCACTGTCTCCCATATGCCAACACCGCTCCTCCCTCCCTCCCATATGCCAACAAGAGTCCTCAGGAAAGGTAAAGTGCAGTTAAATGTTCACTTATTTTATTTATGGTTTATATTTATACCGAATTGTTTTGTGTATAAAAATATGAGTAGTACTCTGTATAAAATGTACTTTAAAGTTAATATTTTTGGGTGTGTGGAACAGATTAATTCAATTTACATTATTTCTGATGGAAAAAAATTTTCAGTTTACAAACCTGGGAATGGATTAAATTCATAAACGGAGTTTTTTTATTTTAATTAAGTTATCTATTAAAACTCTTCAAGCATTAAAAAACCAGCGTTGAATGTAATTAAATGTCAGTTTCTGGGTGAACTGGTCATGACTGTGAATGGATGTGACTGAATGTGATGTGGGTAGTATACAGGCCCGTACAGCCTGTATACTACTCACATCACTATTATTTGCAGTGATAATTATCAAACTATTGTGTTCCCAGTTGGTGGCAGTTTGTTCTATTTTCCTGGCTTTTGTATGTTTTGGTGCACTCAACCTTTCAGGTGGATTTTCTCTTGGTTAGGGTAATCTAAGTAGCCTTCTCCCTGTGCCCATTGAGTAGGTTAAATTTTGTCTCTTATCTCCGTCAGGTATTTGACTAAAAAGGACCTGGTGTGACATGATGTGTGTGTAGGCCTATCCAGATAGCTAGCTCCGGGTCATCACTGAGGGGCTTCCCATCCTAAAATATGGCTTCCATGATCAAGATATATAAGCTGCTAGAAAGTCAGTAAAAAGATGGGATATGATTATGTACAAATAATATGCTAGCAAGAAAACATAAAATGACACAGAAAAGACCTTAACACAAGAGATCACATAAAGAGGGACCAGCTACTAGCTTGAAATGAGATGTAAAATTATAAACCTGAGAAACCGAACAAGATACTAGTTATAAACTTCAGCCTTTGGTTAGATAAAACAAAATATAAAGAGCAGACCTACTAGAAGATTTAAAAGTAGTGTTAAAATGTATATAAAGAAGACAGGACACATTTGCTGCAAGAACTTTTCATGAAATAGGAAATAGGTAATAACATGAAAGTTTTTGAGAGCCACTTCAGATTATTAATTAAATTACCCAATTTTTATTTTATCTTCCAAAAATAGCTGACTAGATAAGTTAGTCTATACTTACTACACCAGTTTTGGCAGTTTAAGAGTCTGCTGAAGACTATTATACTGCTTTCTGAATGACTTGAGAGTTCTTTTTGAAATACACTGACGGATTGTTGGTACCACATCTTTTATTTCATGCCAATTGAAGTTTTTCTGTGAACCTCTCACTGAATGGTTCTGAAATAAGGGTATATAAGTTGATATGATAATTTAGAAACTAATATATTTTCATGAAATCTGTCAGTACCCCTAATAAATAAATAAACAAACTGTATGTATGTATATATGTATATATGTATATATGTATATGTATATGTGTGTGTGTGTGTGTGTGTGTGTGTGTGTGTGTGTGTGTGTGTGTGTGTGTGTGTGTGTGTGTGTGTGTGTGTGTGTGTGTGTGTGTGTGTGTGTGTATATATATATGTATATATATATATATATATATATATATATATATATATATATATATATATATATATATATATATATATATATATATATATATATATATATATAATATACTGTATTATTATTTCATAATTTACAAGTATTTATTACTCAAAAAATCATAAAACAGGCTACTCCATTTTTTCCATGCAATATAGAAGGTACTGTAAGCCCCTGATTATCACAAGGAATACACTACTGAAAAACCTTCCCTATGTTAAATTCATGAAATCTCCCTGAAGATTACACAGTACAGCAAAGATAAAAAATCAAGATTTGTATGTAATGAAATGCCCTTTTCTGGAGGGTTACTTAATAATTCCCAGTCCTGAAGCTGCCAAGTCTTCAGAAATCAAGCTCACTGAGGCAGCTTTATACACACAAATCACACATCAGCTCTAGGAGTCCAAATTGCCTACTGGAAACCAGAGCCAGAACCTAGCCACCCCCCCTCCCTCACAGTGGCACAGAGAGCAAGGAATTGTTTCGATCACTCAGCAAAGAAACATTCAGAAAGTAAGTGAAGCAAGACAGACAATGGCAGAGTTCACAGAGCTGAAAAGAAGCAAAGCAACAAACAACAAGAAACGATCCACTCAATAGTCAGGTTAAACCCAACAGTTACAACTACTTATCTCTTGATGGCAGTACCACTGGGAGCTATGGCTCCCTATGTCAACAGAGCTCAGTCCACAGCTAGTAAAAATCCCTTACCGATGAAGCTGGAAGGGGGTGAGGTACCAAGCAACCACCGAAGCCCAAACAAATAGAAATACAGTGTTTCATTACAGTCAAAGCTGCTCTGGAGGGACTGAATGGTTCCCTTAAGCTAACTAACGAGAAAGTATCAAGAAAAAACAGCATTGAATGTAACGAAACGACATTTTCTGGGTGAACCCCGGAGGCTCCCTGAAGCTATCCTAACTGACATGTGTGTGGGAGGGTGTCAGGGAGCCTTCGGGGCTCACCCAGAAAATGACGCTTCATTACATTCAACACTGCTTTTCTGTGGGAAGCCCTGTAGGCTCCTTGAAGCTAACAACCCACAGATAAGTAAAAGAGGGACTTACGCAGGAGGCAGCAGCACCACAGGTTTCAAGGCAAAGATGAGACACCAGGCCGCGACAGATGTTTCAAAGTAACTCAAGGCAGGAGAGGGCCCAGAATGTTCACAAGATACCTGGCAGCCATGACCCTGTTTGACCTCCAAAACCCCCACTCCTGAATGTTGACCCAATTCATATTACCAAAAACAGCGGCCAGAGCAGCACACTTATACATACATCCAGGGTACGAGGGTAGACCGCAGGCTAGCTAGACTTGATTACTCTGCAGACAACCTGAGAAACACGAGCCCTGGAACAGGGAACCAGGGAAACCGGATCCACCCAGAACACATACACAACCACCAAACCAGTGGCCCGCAGGTAGGGATGTAAAGCCACCATCGGACAATCGACATGAAGTACCTCTGGCCTAACCCACCAATCATCCACAACCAATGGAACCCTCCAAAAGCCAGCCGTCACATTCTTCGCCAGAAAAGGAGGAGAAGGCTGCAAACGAACAAAACACCCACCGGGCCAAACGAGCAGAAACCTCCGCGCCGGGGAAGAGCATGAAGCTCCACAACCCGAGCCCGAGGCCAAAGCCAACAAAACAAGGCATTAAGAAAACAATCCCACACCGAAGGGGCCACTACAAACCAAGGGGGAAGAAAGAAAAGAGCACCCAGCCCAAAGACCAAGACAGCTCAAGCGGCGCATCAGCAGGCCAGAGGTGAATAAATGCATGGGAGGAGCAGAAGTAACATCCACCCCGAACGCATGCTAGAGCGGCTCCGCCAATGCCGCACAAGAAGCGACAGAATTTGGCATGAGATGCTGGTCCAGAATCGTCTAATACAGGGCAAACGGACATCAGGAAGCCACGAGTGAAACCTCTCTGAGAGAACTAGGTTCTGGCTCGTGGTTCCCGGTAGGATCAAGACAAATTAACTGCTGCTCTAAACTAATATAATGGATATCACTGTTAGCTTCAGGGAGCCATAGGGGCTCCTCCCAGAAAATATTTTGGATTTTTCTTTATCTCTTGTAAAGCTTTCTGTTACAATTTAATTTCTTCAGACTTGTATGATCGTTTCAACATCTGCTCTATTTCTTCAATCTCCTTGTTTAGATTTATTTTATTTTCTTGTGATAGTCGTGTCTTGACTCAGCAAAATGTCTATCAATATACTATTCACATTAACTCTAGTTACAACTTATCAGAATCCTGGTCACCAACTCATGAGTAGTATAATTTTCAACAGGTTTATTTTCTAAAGGAACATGAGGTATATATATTTCCTGATATATAGATGCACCAATCTGCGGCTGTGTGCTACAATCATAATAACCAGCAGTGTGTTTATTGATATCTGAACTGTATACATAGTCTTCATCACAGTCAGGATGTTCCATGACACTATCACCACGAAATAATCACAGTTCTTTATTTTTTGTTATTATTAAGTGATGGTGTCACAAGGTACACAGCAGTGACGTCAGCTGCTGCTGCATGTGCTACATGGTTACTATCTCAATACTGAGGGCCCTCAAATCCAGGAGGGGGTGCCCATTATTTTTCCAAAACGGCATCTCACTGAAGGCCTGAGAAAGCAAAGGTGAGCCCTGCGTAAATGTGCGACTTTTAAATTTTACGTGAACTTATCAGGAAAGAACAGGCCCGAAAGGGCAAGGTCTTCCCTGACTGATATGTGCCAATCATGTTAAACAAGTATTTTCAGTTTCAATTCAGTACAATGAGGCATTCTAGATACTGAATGGAAAACTTTCAGAACAAGACAGTAAGAAGAACAAATATATGATACCTCCACTGGGGATATTAGATTAATAAATACATAAATGCTTACCTTATAGATGACAACAAGAAGGGTAAAAAGACTTGACATGTATTGACCATTTATTGATTCAGGGGTCTTGAATAAATTCAGAGTCTGGAAAAGAATTAAAGTAATTGTATACATTGTCCTTTTCCAGTAAAGGCTGCTGGCACTTTTTTACGAATGTATTTTAAATGCACATTAACTACTACATATTATGCTGTTCCTGAATGTACTCTAGTGAAAGTTATGTACATTCAACTTTCCCTTTATTAAAAAATTAAAGAAAATGAGTCCTATCTCCAGTCCAGGGTCCCAACCCACAGAGTAAACATGATCAAATCATGTGAGTATGGGCCATTGAGGACTTGAGGCCACTGGGAATGGGAGTGTATCACACACATCCAGCTACCCACCCACACACACCTACACCCCCATGCACCCCCTTCCTCCATACAATACTATGGCCCATTTAAGGGGCCCGGTGACCAATTTATAAACCTTCTTCAAGCACACTCAAACTTTTTGTGCATAATCTAAATGGTAAATACTCCAACTTTTCCTAATAGATCAACATCATAACGTGAACAGAAAAAATATATATAATTAAAAAAACCAGCGTTGAATGTCGTGAAACACCATTTTCTGGGTGAGACCTGGAGGCTCCCTGGAACTATCTGGGCTGATATGAATGTACAGTGACTTCAGTGACGTGAACGGAGTTCTAGGCCTACAGGAGACCACGAGCCAGAACCTGGCCCCCCTCAGTGAGGCACGGGGAGCAATGGCCTATTGAAATCCCGTGTGGTTGGAAGCATTCTGACTGCCACTGACCGGGTCAGGCACCCAAAAAGGTAAGCGCCCCAAAACAAACCCCTATTCTGGTTAAGAAATTGTTACTGAAAGCCGTAGTAGTGAACAGAACTCCTCAAATGAAAATGACCAAACAAGCATGATGTCACCACAGTCACCGCGCCGCTGTCTGCGCAGCTCCCCACTCCCCCGGGAGGGAGAAGGGGAAACCCTAGACCCCTGAGGTCTAGGGCTTCATCCACACCCCAGTTCTGAGATGTAAAAAATACGCAAAAAAACACCGACCGGAGGGAAGGAGGATGGGGTGTGGATAGCCAGCGCAGGAGTCTGGGGCTCCCCCTTCCCCCTCCCAGGGAGGGGGGAGCTGAGCAGACAGCGGCGCACTGACGTGGTGACGTCATGCTCATTTGCTAGTTTTCATTTGGGGAGTTTTGTCCACTAGTTCGGCTGTCAGTAGCAATTTCTTAACCAGAATAAGGGTTTGTTTTGGGACGCTTACCTTTCTGGGTGCCTGACCTGGTCGACAGCAGACACAGAATGCTCCCAACCACACGGAGGGGTTTCAATGTAGCATTGCTCCTCATGCCTCACTGGGGGGAGGGGGCCAGGTTCTGGCTCATGGTCCTTGGTAGGCCTAGAACTCCATTCGTTTAGATTAATGCCAGGGTCTAATACATTCGTATCAACTCTGTTAGCTCCAGGGAGCCAAAGGGGCACTAACATATGTTCTGATCTGCTTGTTAACAATGCTCCAACTATAATCTTCAAGTTATTTAGACAGAAAAGGTGGTGGGGGATGATGACAGAGTTAGGTTGACTTAAGTGGGGATTAATGGTGATGGGGTAACCACAGGAGACTGCCTTTTATTGTGTATTCTAATGTACCTAATGTCATGGCAGAGTTGAAAGTTTCTGAGCCATCCATTAGTGTATGAACACTGCTCAAGTGGTGCTGGGTACAGTCACTGGGCAAACTAGTTCCATCTTTATTGCACATTATTATTCAGATGCCTTTCCCACCAGTTATCCAAACTCTTTTATCCGGACAAACCCAATCAGATAACAGGCATTTGTAAAGCACACTATATATTTATTTATTGATTTTAAATGTCTATTAAAGAAATTGGTAAGATACTCACATTCAATATTTTTGTCGATAGATCTGTTTCAATCCTTGCTGCATACTCTTCATTTCCTTGTGCCACAAGGGCCTTATTCTGATATAACTTTTGTATCACTTGCAATGCCTGAGTTCGTCGATATATTTTGATTTTAGAGTCAAAAGCAAACTTCATCACAAGTTCCACAATGTTCCATAACCCTCCATAATCATAAGAACAAGGACCTAAGAATGCATGCGCCTTCACCGAGCCAGTGCTGAAAATTTGTTACAAATCAATATACAAACATCTAAATTATACTAAAATAGATAAAAAATAAATAAAGCACTTAAATAAAAAATTTAATTTAAACGCTGAAGCTGTGTAACAAAACTGATATTATGAAAATTATATGAAACTCCATATAAATGTACAGTATTTATATTCCAATGCATTAAAACAATATTTAAGTACAGTACTGTACTGGATGCTATTTATACTTTTGGTGCTAATTGTCCTCCCAAAATTTCACCGCAATTTGGTGCCTTTAAGTTCCTTATCACAAGAGTCAAAACTTTTCGCACCAAAAATAAAAATAAAAAAATATTTGTAATGGTCACAGTAATTTACTGCATGCAGTACATGTTCTCTCTTTTCCAAACATGTCACATTTCACCATCCAAACATGTCACAGTTCACCATCCAAACATGTCACTGTTCACCATCCAAACATGTCACTGTTCACCATCCAAACATGTCACTGTTCACCATCCAAACATGTCACAGTTCACCATCCAAACATGTCACAGTTCACCATCCAAACATGTCACAGTTCACCATCCAAACATGTCACTGTTCACCATCCAAACATGTCACAGTTCACCATCCAAACATGTCAATGCAATACTAATACCTTTTTGTAAAAAAGGAACCCATGTGATTTGTCAAGGCCTTAACTAGAGGGTTGTCTGGCTTGTGAATACCCTCTCCCAGGAGTCGGGAGCCAAATCGATGCAGCAATGAATAGCACTCTCTTACAACATCAGTGAAGCTCTCAGGCACTGTAAAATGTTAAGAAGTAGCTATAATATGTGTACAAGCAAATCAATGACTAAAATGATAAATAAGCATAATGGCTAAGTCATCGCCTACAGTAAGGAAGGGACCTTTTAAAGTGTCGTTTAATAGTGAAATTGTATTTGAAACTCCTGTCTAAGAGAGCAGCTAGCCTGCATATGCACAGCAAGCATATTCACATTGAATAAACTGTCAGATCTAAATGAATGTAGTAAACAAATGCTTCAGTTCTTATAGAAACATAAGAACTGCGCACCCCCGACCTCCTTCCCTAGAGACTGTTCGTAAGCCAAAAATTCGTAAACTGAAGCAAATTTTCCCATAAGAAATAATATAAATTGAATTAATCCGTTCTACACTCCCAGAAAAAATTAACTTCAAAGTAAATTTTATACCTAATTCACCTAAATTTTTAGCACTAAAGTATGTACAATTTATTGCTTACCTTTATTAATGACTTGTGGTTTTGGACATTATATGCATATACTCCTGTAGGGAATTTCATTGCGAATACATTGATACCAAAATGAAAGGCCTAGGATGGGAATTGAGGTAATAAAGTTGAAGAGTATAAACATTTTATGGCTCTTGATGAGCGCTCACGGGAGGTCATGTGCTGTCACTTTCTCTGTTTGCTGTGGGTGGTACACCAGGCTTTTGGACTTTATATTTGCATATATTCCTGTAGGGAATTCTATTGTGAACACAATGATACCAAGATGAAAGACCTACGATGAGAATTGAGGTGACCAAAGTGAAAAGTGTACACATTTTATTGCTCTTGCATGCTCCCGGGTAACACGCTCTCACTTTGTTTGTTGCGGATGGTATGCCGGGCTTTTGAACTTGATATGCCTTTAGTCCTGTAGAGAATTCTATTGCAAACACATTGATACAAAATTGAAAAACCTAGGACGCGAATTGAGATGACAAAGATGAAACGAGTACAGGGGTACTTCAGTTTAAGAGTATAATTCATTCCTGGAGACGGCTCGTATTCCGAAAACTCGTATTCCGAAAACTCGTATTCCGAAAACTCGTATTCCGAAGCTAATGTCCCCATAAGAAATAATGGGAAACGAATTAATCTGTTCCTGACTACCCCAAAAACCCCACATCAAACCAAATTTTTATACCTAATTCATCTAAATAAACCTACAAAACTATGTTCAAGTTATTACTTACCCTTGCTGAGGACTGCTATTGGTGTATGGAAGATGTGAGGAAGAGGGAGGAGGAGAGGTGTTACTGTTTGGAAGGGGTGTCCCCTTCCATTATAACATCAAGCAGTGAGGACTTCACTGGTATGCACACACTGCACATTTTGTCTGCATACCACTAGGACTTGCTTGTTTTACTAAGAATCTGTCTAAAGACACTTGTTTTTCCCTACATTTTAACACTTGTCTGTATTAAGACATCACATTGTCATTTAAAAGGTCAATGCAACGACCTGCTACAGCTTTATCTGGGCGAGTTTTTTTCAACAAAACTTTGCAGTTCTTCCCATACTTCACACTTTTTCTTAATCAAGAAGGGACATCCTCTACTGCCTCTACTCACAGCTATTTTTTTAGGTTGAACCTTATCAATGGCTTTCTTGAGACCCATGGCGAGATATATAATGACAACTTTTATGCTCAAATGGCCAAAAAAGACAAAAAACTGTAAATCCTTGAAGAATTCAGGTGGGATAGTCACTGGGCGCGAGACACTGGTAAACCGAGGCGCAATCGCCGTGCCACCATGCGCTAGTCAGCCTGTACACGTATCAACAAACTCGTGTTCCGAGGTAGCCCTCACCTTCCGAGACACATTTTCCAAGGAAATCCTGCTCGTATTCCGAAAAACTCGCATACAGGGACACTCGTGTTCCGAGGTACCACTGTATACACTTTTCAGAATTACCGCGCGCTCCCGTAAAATGCGAGGACTGCCTTGGGGTGGCCAGGTGCTCTCTTGCCCAGAACGCCAAAGTGCTAAGTAAATTTATGAAAAAGCCTGTTAACTATTATTGCCCCTGCCTTGATGACCATGGGTTGGAGACAATTTTAGTAGTGTAGTCTGAACTAGCTGAATATAAAATAAGTGGGAGAGTTACAGAGAGGTGAGGCTTAATGATACATCACAGTAATCCAAGGTCAGAAAACAGGTGAGCTGACATCACAGAGTGAGCATCGACAACAGATGGTCAGCAAGGTTCTCCCACACCCTGATTTGATGTTTTTTTTAAGTTACGAAAAAGGAAGCTGCCTCCTTCTCCCAGGCATTAACTAGTGTTTCTCTTTTTTTTTAATGTGAGTGGAATGAGCCTATTATGTTCCGGACAGTTGGCCTCCACAAAATTATATATCAGTACTGTATATTTAGGGGGGCCTTTTCCAGGATAGTCAGGGGTGTGCCTCACTCGACATTACAGCAGGCACAATTCATCCATAATGAATATGCCTAACGTACATGTGCAGGCTAACTCCTGCCTTGGTGGGAGTTTCAAAAACACTTTCACCATTAAAATATATTTAAAAGGTACATTTCCTTACACTACTGTCAATTCAAATGTGAAAAATATATAAATGGACTGAACAGCAATTACATGTTAAAAATTATAACTAATTATATACCAGTTAAGACATACAAGATGATCTGAAGACAAAACTAGTACTTACTACTGGAAGCATTGATGAAGAAAGTGTTCAAGGTGTCCATCAGTACATCAATCGTGGCATCCCCTAAGCTATCACACTTCTTTACCATTCCCAGCAGATGTATGAGGTGCCTGAAAGCAAAGCTTCTTTAGGAAATAATCTTCAATGTTTCAAGATGCAAGTTACGTACATATAGATGTCGTATCACTATCACTATCGCGCTCCCGGCAGAAGGCTCTAACTTTGCAGCCTCTCGGAGGCATAAACCAGGGTTTTACACAACTCCCCCCATGCACTCGAGCTATGTCAATAGGCCGTTCTCCCTCTTCGCCCTTACTTCGTAAGGGCAAAGAGGGAGAAACCTCGAAGAAGGCAAACCTCGAATACCAAGTCAAATTTGATGAAGAAATGACCTCATATACCGAAAAATTTGTAAAGAGGGGCATTTGTCACCTGGGGTTCCACTGTGTATGGAGGTAAGGCAGTTCTAACACAAAGAATTTAGTTTTTAAATCAAAGGGTTTGTTTAACCTCAGCAGTACTTAGATTTTTACATGTTTGACCTACTGAAGATGGAGATTAAAAATTTACTAACAATAATTCACAATGAATTCCACCTGGTTTATTAGACAATCACTTTTCTAACCCAACATAACAATTGACATGTTTCGTATAAATAAAAAAATACTGATTTTTTTCCATGTTAAAACCAACCTGAGTCTGTTCTGAAGGTCTTTTTGCCTCTTATCTTGATCTGCAGTGTAGAGAGCAATGAAGAGTGGATTAACTAAGCCCAGGAGCATGCCCATGGATGGAGCTTTCTTAATGTAAACCGCAATCAAATCACAAACTCTGAAAAATAAGAAAAAAGTTTTATTTAATTCAGTAATTTTTTTATTCCAGCCAATCAATGTAGGTCCCCTCTGTCAAGTATATCCCACAATACGAAGAATATTGGTAATTGAGAAATACAAAGATAAAAGCAGAATCTGCAGGGATAACATTAGATTTGATAACAGTCCTTACAGTCAGAATGTTATCTATGAATAAAGTTCACTCATCTAGGCATCACTCAACAGTGTTAGAGTATATCTTGTCATTTCGAAATAAAGTGTTGAATGTAATGAAACGCTCCTTTTGTTTGGTGCTTTGGTACCTTCCCATTGTTTAAGGCTCTGATACCTCAGAGACTTCTAAACACTCTACACACTTGGGCCTGCTGGCCTACTGGAAACTAGGATCAGAGATCGACCTAAAATAGAGAAAAGCAGCCAAAAAAATTCAAAGGAGCAACAAATAAACCACTGCTCTTTGTAAGAGAAAGTTAAGAAATAAGGTAATTGATAGTTGGCAGAGAGAAACAGCAAGCCATCAAGCTGCTCCATCAAGAGTTCCAGGAAAATCCAACTGCCTAAGTATTGTAGAACAGGATGATGACCGTGAGTGATAACCCAAGAAACATGAAGGCACAGATAATTTGAAAAATAACTAAAATAAAACAAATATGCAAAATTATGTAAAAAACCTGGATAAGTAAAGATGATATTCAAAACAGTAGCAGTAACATCACAGATGGCCACCACCATGAGAAAGGACAACACAAAAGAGATTCATTTTAATGAGGAAAATATTAGCACGAGTGGTTTTCACAACAGCTTGGCAAAATAGAGAACATTGCAAAATATAATGTGGAAATAATTAGGAATTTGAGGAGCAGTAATGAAAACTTGAGCAACAATGTATCAGCTCTGGAGAAAGAAAAGCAGCTTGGAATCACGATATGGATTGGGTAAGCAACATATTACATTAACAGGAAGGTCAAATAATGGAATTATGCAAGGAAAGGGAACTCCAGAAAGCTATGAAAAAAATCTGATGAAAATAAAGTATTAACCCTCAACATGTAGCTATTGAAATATGGCCCCTACCTGCCTATCCATAAAAAATTTTAAAAATTTAATAAATATTCTTCTTTAAATACTAAAAAATGTTCTTTGGTGTCTGAGCATTTAAATGCTTTACTTTCTTTCTTGGTTTTTTCGTGATCAGCATCTGCCCAACCACTTGGATTGGGCAGCAGTGTCAGCCTTGCTTCTTGCAGATCGGCAATCAATCCCCAACCATTCAAGTGGTTGGGCACCATTCCTTTCCTCTGTCATATCCTAAATCCTTATTGTCATATCCCTTCCAAGTGCTATATAATCATAATGGCTTAATGCTTTCTCTTGATAATTACCTTACCTTGATTAACATCTCATGCCAAATACTGTCCCCTAGTACTGTGCAGTGCTGGCAGACTCACTGCAGCTTGCATTTGGAGTCAATACTACCTTCTTGAGGTTATCTTGAGATAATTTCGGGGCTTAGTGTCCGCACAGCCCAGTCCTCGACCAGGTTACATAGTTATAAGAGTTCATTAGGTGGGTTTCAAGGCTTTGGTCTCTTGAAGCATGCAATGGTTTGTTTTGACTTGCTAACTTTCTACTTACCTTCACCAGTGATGTGATGAAATGTCACCACTCCCTGTACCGCTGTGAGGGGGAGGGGGGGGGGGGGCAAAGTTCTGACACTGGTCTCAAGTAGGCCTATAGAACTCTACGGTTGATGCAACATAGTAAATAGGAACCATCTCAGTGTATAGCTTTAGGAAGCCACTGGGGCTCACCCAGAATTTGGCATTTCATTACAATCTATTGTTTTTAGGGGGGAGGGGGGATCTATACTCTCAAGCATTTATTTGCGAACAATTTGACACCAAATTTGTAGCTACTGTATAACCCCACAAAAAACGTAAAGTGATTGTAAACATTTTACATATCACTGAGCGAGGCCTCAGGGAGCCCAGAACATTTGGGAGTGCACAGAGAGAATGGACCACCAAAGTGTTAAAGTATAGAGGGTCACCATGATTATCACCAAGCCTTGGTTACCCAACAACTAGGACATTATTATATCTTAGACAAGCAGAATTTACTTTTACCTGGTTTGGAAATGCATGATGCTCTTCTCATCCTTGGGTAATTTTTCAATGGCTCCCGTTTTTTTGTTCCGTTGCTTGTTTTGATATTCTCCCAAGAGAGCACTCAGCTTCCTGTCTAAATTGTTTAGTTCTTCTTGTGGAACACTGTCCATATCAACATCCTCCTGAAGAACACAAAATTCCTAAATGTGAACAAAATTATTCTCTTTCAAGTATACAAGATTAACTAGTCATGCATCTAAAACCTTATATGCTCTGGTCGAAGCCAACTAATGGTCTTTAACACTTTCGCTCGGGGATGACGCAGCATTGCGTCATCCGTTTACTGGCGGTAATGCCGGGGATGACGCAGCATTGCGTCATCCACTTTAAAAATTCGCCAAAAATCAGGTTTTTATCTGATTTTTTGGGGACTGGTTTTAAAATGTGCGCCGATGTCTTCCCATTTTCTTTGTTGAGCCTCGTGGCCCTCAGGCGGCTTGGCACACCCCGTGGGCCCATTGTCTTTGCTCCACTGTTGTGACCAATGTCGCCTCCCCTCGCATCTCAAACGTGTGAACATTTCGGCTATTTCCCGTGGCTATATTTCTTACTGCGGCTTTAGAAACTATCTACGCTTACTCCACGATGGATAGTAATCATGAACAAGGCCCTTCCAGGAAGAAAATTGCGAAAGAAAGGCTTGAAAAGGGTGGGAATTTGGAGTGTAGCAAGAAGGCCTCTGAGCACTCACTCACGGCTAACGCGTGGCCCGTCTTCAACTCGTCGGCGGTTGGAGCGTGACCAGGTTTTTTTTTTTATATGCTAATGTTCCTCTAGAGAATTTTATTACGAACCCATTGAGACCAAAATGAAAGACCTAGGACAAAAATTGAGGTGACCAGAGTGAAAATAGTGAAAACATTTTATCCCGTTTGCGCGCTCCCGGGTAACTCGTTCGCACTTTCTCTGTTTGCTGCGGGTAATTAGCCGGGCTTTTGGAGTTTATATGCATTTAGTGCTGTAGAGAATTTTATTGCGAACACAATGATACCAAATTTTATCTCGTAGAGGGAGAATTGAGGTGACAAAGTTGAAGAGAGTATACACTTTTCGGAATTAACGCGCGCTTCCATGACACGCTGGGGCCCATATCGCCCTGTCGAGGGGTGGCGCGCGGGGTGAGCGAAAGTGTTAATATTTTTTAATTAAACTCTGACCAAATAGGAAATACTTATACCACTTATACCCTATAAAAGTGGTCGCCAAGTGGAATTCACTGAAAGAAAAAATTATGGAAACCACCTCTATCCACAACTTTGAAGCCAGATTCGACAAAGAATTGAAACAGCAGTTTAACCCTTAAACTGCTCAGCATAAGGGGGCAGGGAAGCAAAAAATATTCATATGTAAAAATTACTTAAAAATGTTAAACAAATATCCAACTTATTGGCTACAGCATTGTGAAACTTTCATCAAAATATTTTTAAAAATTGATTTTAAGACGAATATCTAAAAAAAAAAAAAAAAACAGTGTTGAATATAATGAAACGCCATTTTCTGGGTGAGTCCCGGAGGCTCCCCGGAGCTATCCAGGCTGAATGAATATGTATAACTTTCTAGCATCAGTTAAAGTGCTTGGAGTTCTTGCCTATCAGGGACCCTGAGCCAGAACCTGACCCCCTCAGAGAGGCACGAGGAGCAATGGCCTTTAGAAACCCCCTTGTGGTTGAGAGCATTCTATGTCTGCCATCGACTGGGACAGGCACCCAGAAAGGTAGGCGCCCCAAAACAAACCCATATTCTGATGAAAATATTGCTACCGAAAGCCGAACGAGTGGACAGAACTCCCCAAACAAAATTATCAAACTAGTATGACGTCATCACGTTGCCGCGCCGCCGTCTGCGCAACCCCCCCCCTCCTCCCTAGGAGGGGAAAGGGGAAACCCCAGACCCTCCGCGCCGGCGATCCAACCGGCAGTTCTTGGCTGATGTGATCAGTTTTGTTTCAGTTCTGTGCCTTGTGGTGTAGACTGTCTCTACAGGTGGTGTGCGAGCCAGGAGAGATATTCCACGGTACTCGGGCTGCATGCACCTAGGAAGTCACCTTGATATCTACCTCCACTGTGTCCTTTACCGCTCGGTATTTGGCTGCCCATGGAGTCGTCTGGGGTTTTGTTGCCCTTGTTTGCCTCTGGGTAGGAGGTAGTTTTCCTCACTGGTAGGGGCGCGGGGTACTGCACAGCTAGTTTTCACCAATAACAGCAGTCGGCTCTGTTCCACCTGGGTACGTTGTCCTCTTGCATGGTTTTTTCTTTTGTTTTTATTTTTGCCTGGAGGGGGTCTGCCACAAAGGTAGACTATGGGTCAAGTGTGTCATTGACCCAACGGGCAGCATGACGGAGGCAAAAGTGGCGAGTGTCGTCACCCTGAGACAAGGGGTCAGAGCAAACTTCAAACTCTCACTTGGCAAGTTGGAACCCCGAGGACACGTCCATAGGTCCAAAGAGCCCCAATGGGATTTTCCAGGGCCCTTAGGCTGACTGCTAAGAGAAGCCCAGGGAAGGTATTGCTAACGGGTTGGGTTCAAACTATCATGAGAACTGCTAAAAGTTAAACCCCTGCAACTTGTACAAGCATGGGGGGGGCCTAGCAGAGGCCCACCAATATAACAAAGTGGATAAAACCAAGGGGGGGGCAGATCTCCACCAGGCAAACCAAATAAAAATAAACCCCCACGAAAGCACAATGTCTCCAGGAAGAAGAGAACCAGCCGCTGTGTATAATGGGAGACAAGCTGCATAATACCTTGTGCCCCTACCAGCAGCAATACCACTTCCTACTCAAGGCTAAACATGGCAACAAAAACCCCAGCTGGCCACAAGAGCAGGCAATTGCCAAGAAGCAAAAGAACCCTACTGAAGTGGTTCCCAAACACCTCGTGGAAGGCAACCCCAAGACACAAGGGCAGTACTCATAGGGCCCTTACGGAAGGCAGCCCTAAGCGCATGCAGCTTCAGTACTGATGAAATACTCCTGGCCTGTGCACCACACTGCAGAATTACAACCCAAGGCGCAGAACTGCACAGTCAGAGGCCAGAGTCGATGACCACCACAGTCCACATCAGCCAAGGAACTGAATGGAGCAGCGGCCAGCGCGAGGAGTTCGCCCCCCCCCCCCACCAAGGGGTTGTACAGACAAGCTGCGTGGCGTGGCGGCTGTGCTTCTGCTTTAGGTAGCAGTTTTTACCATGCAGGGTTTGTTTTGTAACACCAACCTTTCTGGGTGCCAAACATGGAATGCTTCCAAATACATGGGGGTTTCCGTCGGTCCTCATGCTTCTCTGAGGGGGCCAGCCAGGTTCTGGCTCATGGTCCCCAGCAGGCAGAACTCCAAATCGACTGATGCCACGGTCTAATACATACATATCAGCCCAGTAAGACCCAGGGAGCTATAGGGGCTTCCCACAGAAAGGACTTGTAAATTGGAAAAGATGCATAGGCATGATCAGGATCAACTACCTCCGTGCCCAAGTTGGAAGGGGCAAATAGCTTCAGTCAGCAAACAGGACTCATCCAGAAAGAGGCATTTCATTACAATCAATTCTGGGTTTTCTATTAAATATTTATTTCAAATCTTCCTACATTTGTTTTTTAAATACTTTTATTACTTTTTCAATGTACTGTACAGTATATTGAATATATACTTATTTAATTATTTAATTCACAAATCCCTACAATTACTGTTTAAACCTATTTACCGTTAGCCAGAAATGTCTCTAATGAACACCTAAGAATATTACTTTTAATTATAATTCATACAAACCTTCATAATTTCCTTTAACTACTTACATCAATATTACCAGTAACAGCCAACATTTTTTTCTTGAGGTCAAAAATACTCATGGTTCCATCCTCTCCATTCTCATTTTCTTCATCAGCTTCCATATCATCTTCTATTTCATTACCCTCAGCCTCCTCACTTGACTCTGACTGCACTTCATCATCTTCATCTTCATTTTCTGAATCTGTTGCTTCATCTTCAGTTCCCTCTGCCTCTTCAGGGTCCACACTTTCATAATTGTTTATTGCAATATTGTCATCATTTTCTTTCCTAATTAACTCTTGTGTCTTTGAAGGATCCAAGACATCTGTGAGGATAGTAAGGGCCGTGTGCGTCATCTCTGGGCACATTAACCTGCCAGAGAATATATTTATATTTCAATACTATATCAAGGAGCCAATAACATTATTATTAAAATAAAAGTTGGTCTTTATTGAAGTTGAAAATATATTTAAGATTGCTGGAATGAACTCCTGGAGGAAACTGCACAATAAAAATCACTGGAAATATTACAATTGTTTTTGATAAAATATAAGAGACAGGGCACAATCGGTAAATAAAAAATTCCTGATGGCATGCCAGAGGATTTTTTGACTACAGTATCCATGTAGTGCAGATCTGAAGTTCATGTACTTTATGTAGAGATAATAGTAGGCCTCTCCATGGGGAGGCACTTGTGTGAGAGTGCCTCCGTAAGGGAGTGCATGGAGAATGAGTGTCCACACTCCTTGAATCAAAATTCATATTTCGTGACATTTTGGTACTAGAAAGACAAAACATTGACTAGTGATATTATGAGGTGTACCACACCGATTAGAAAATAGAAAATATAGTGAATGTGATTGAACATTGTGTTAAATAGCCAATAACCTACCACATGTGTGACAACAGTGCCAAACCAGGAAATAGAGCTGCGAACAATCCCCATAAACATATAATATCCTTATAGAAATATGATAGTGAAGTGTAGGGCAACCAATGTAGTCACAACGTGACATTAAGAACACAATCATTTTAAGGGTAGAAAATGCCACCTAACCTAGTGAGAACTATAGTGAGAAGATTTGAACAAATGTCTGGCAGTGGCGAGTGTGGTGCCATTAGGCCTACAATGGAGATACATAGTACTGAATAGGATGTTCCCTCAGTGAGCGAGCGAGTACAGGGATGAACACTTAATAATAGCGAGGCTTTCATAGATTAGAAAACTGGAAATAAAATTAACATAATAAAACAGACTAGGGAAATTTAATGAAATGAACATTAAACATGAAAATGGCATCCCTGCCCACTAGTTGTGACTGGTGACCCAAGAGGCAGACTCCTTCAACAACTGAATGTGTCCACATTTATACTGAAATATGCAATTAAGTAGTGTTGAGATAAAAAGAACAGAAAAACTGGTCTTAAATATTGAATGTGGTAATACTACACAAGTGCAACAATAGAAAATATACCCCTTATGATACACACAACTGTAGCACAGTTGACAACTGTAGGGGTAGCTTCCCCCCCCCCCCCCCCACACACACACAAGCATACGAGACACAAACAGTAAGCAAAAGCAATACGACCATAAATAAATTTGCGGTCACTGTAATAAATACTTTAAGACCGAAACAACGGGAATCACATTTATGTGTGTAAGAATAGATTCCACTTATCTTGCCCAGAAGTGAGTAGTACCGGAGCCCTGAGAGCTAGACATTTACTCAAGGTATATAACAATTTGCCAACTTGGAATATATTAAAACAACTCCTAAATGCTGTTACAACCTTTGATCCAAGATTGGCACTCTGCAAAGAAGCCCAGGGCCAGATTTATGACGCAGTTACGCAAGTACTTACGAACGTGTACATCTTTCCTCAATCTTTCATGGCTTTGGTTACATTTATTAAACAGTTTACAAGCATGAACCTTTCCAATCAACTGTTGTTATTGTTATAAACAACCTCCTGGTGCTTTGGAGCTCATTAACTGTTTAACCCTTTAACTGCGCAACGCACCTGCAGGCCCACGTCTAAGGTGCGTTACACGCCTCCAGGTATTTGTATTTTTCTCGTTCCATTCAAAACTCCCGCGGCTACATGGGGTTCATATCAGCTTCCTCAGGGCTCTTGTAAACAGACGCCATCTTTACAAAAAATCATGGTCCACATTCCCGGGTGTGAGAGCCACAGCAGTGAGTGAGGCTCTCAAGTTTTGAATCGCTCTCTATGCCCAAAAATGCCACATGGCACTCTGCGCACCCTCGATCTAGCGCCTTGTGGCGCTAGATCGAGGGTGGTTAAGGGATTGAGGGTGGTTAAGGGATCGAGGGTGGTTAAGGAACAGATATCTGTGGTTATGGAACATAGACCTTACCTCTAGTTTACTGTATGTAACTCTCGTCTCTTGCCTATGTGAAGTAAGAGAGATAACAGAAGATTGAGTGGGTAAGTATTTATTTTATTTAGGGGGTTTAGAGTTAATAAATTATATTAAGGTAAATTTAAGTTGGAGTTTCCCTCACCCATATTGCATTGGGGTTTAAGCGATCTGCTCTAGATGACAGACCATAATTACTTATTCTTTTGCTGGGAATTGTTTCCCCGGGGACCGGGCCTTACCTAACCCCAGTAGGTGTTAATCCCTTATCTTTTGATTTTAACTCAACAGAGCACCTAATTTTTTCAACAGATACCATGACTTATGACAAGAAAAATTCATTCATCGAAAGCCTACTGGCCATCCAGGAAGAGCGAGAAGCAAATAATACTGGTGCTGGAGAGGAGGCTGTAGACAGGGATGAAACTAAAGAAGTAATTCAGGAAATTCTAAACTCTGAACTGTTCCAACCCTTGTCAACCCACGCCATGCTTGGGTGGTCTGGGTTGCTGGATTCTCTGACTATGTTGTAGTGACTGTTGTTGTCATCTAGTGATGAACAGTGGAGTGTCTAGTTACTATTCATTAGTCAACATAGTAATTAGCACTGCAATTAGATTCTGGTGATTCCAATTTTTTCCTGACAAGGATTCTTTCATGATCTGATCTGTGAATTTGTTTGATAGTGAGCTGTCGCTCAGTGACGGATTAGGTTAAACTTTCTTGTGTCTCCCCTCCATAACTATGAGGGTAGACCATTTGAAAAGTTCATTGTCACAGCACAGAAGTAGGTTAACAAGAACCTGGCAAGTGAACCGAGTTCTAAATAAACCTTACAGTTTCTACCTTAGGAACAGTCAACACCTGTTCAAAAAGGAGTTTCATTTTACTCAATGCCCTATTTTTTTAATTTATTATTAATATTTTTATAAACCAACTATTTTTTAATTTAGTCTTTTAAAAGATTTCCTAAAACAAAAAGTATATTTGAATGAATTCTCTTGGGAAGATATTCGAAAGGTTAAATAAAAAGCAACAATACTACACTTACCAAAATACTCCTTGTGAGACAGACCTAAAGAAGTTTTTCTCTTGAGTCAAAAGGCTAAGCAAGAGTTCTGTTATCACCTCCACCCAATACGGCTCCCTCATTGATACCTCTGCTCCTCGCTTCTTCTTAATATCTGACATTTTCATTACTTTTTTATGGCATGCATTTAGTTCTTCTATAATGTCTTTTGCACCTGATGGATCAATGAAAAGATGGAGACACATCTGACAATACAAAACCTGAAAAAGCAATTAAAATCTAATTAGAATCATCCACATTATATTACAATAACTGATAATTGTCTCACTCTTTTGTTTTGTCTCACAAAAATGACTAATGATCTACACTCAAAATTAATGATCTAAAAATGACTAATGATCTAGGCACACGGATAATGATCTAGACTCATGAATAATGACCCAGACACAACTAATGATCTAGACACTTCTCTAATGATCTAGATATATGACTAATGGTCTACAGACAACTAATGATGTAGATATATTACTAGTGATCTAGAAAATTAATGATCTAAACACAACTAATAAACTAAGCACATGACTAACAATCTAGACAACTAATGATCCAACCTGTTCTCTTACAAATTACGTCTGAATTTGGCCGTATGCCTGTATGGCCCAAAATGGTTGTAATTTAAAAATAAACAATAATTGAAAATAAATTTTGGATTTTTTTCCAAAACCGCAAGTTAAGGGTCCTTTGGTAGGTTAGGAGGGCAAGAAGTTCTCCTAAGGTTGCAAAACATGAAAACCGTTAATTGAAAGTTCCCTCTCTTAACCTAACCGAGTGAGCCGAAGGACTAAAAACAGAAAACAGGACAGTACGTCACTTTCATGAGCAGATTTCATTTCAAATTATGTCCATTTTTGGCCATAGCTCGCATAGGAGTGAAAAGCAACGTAATCTTAAGAGGATGGGTTGAATGATCAAGACAGATTACTAATAATCAAAACACTACTAATGACTTTTATACTTACTAACAATATAAACATATGACTATTAATCTAGTAACACATCTAATCTAGTTACAGGCTATTCATGCCCGTGCCACCTCTTGGGTGGCTTAATCTTCTTCAATCAATCTAATGATCTAGGCACATGGCTAATAATCTATTGGTGAACACCCACTATACAACACAATCCTGGAGTATGCGGCTCCAGCATGGAGTCCATATCTAGTCAAGCATAAGACTAAAGTGGAAAAGGTTCAAAGGTTTGCCACCAGACTAGTACCCAAACTGAGGGGTATGAGCTATGAGGAGGGACTACGGGAATTAAACCTCACATCACTGGGAGGCAGAAGAGGGGGGGGGGGGGACACGATCACCACAAACAAGATTCTCAAGGGAATTGATAGGATAGATAAAGACAGACTATTTAACTCAAGGGGCACATGCACTAGGGATCACAGGTGGACATTGAGTGCCCAAATGAGCCATAGAGACATTAGAAAGAATTTTATAAGTGTCAGAGTAGTTGACAAATGGAATGCATTAAAGAAGTGATGTGGTGGAGGCTGACTCCATACACAGTTTCAAGTGAAGATATGATAAGAGCCCAATAGGCTCAGGAACATGTACATCAGCTGATTGACAGTTGAGAGGCGGGACCAAGGAGCCAGAGCACAACTAGGTAAGTACAAGATTACACCAAAACACATACCTGAAAAACTGGGTTAGCTTTGGATGCTTGCTCTTGCTCTCCCTGAAGGACACATATCTTCTTGAACACTTGAGGCCAGAGTTTCTTTGCCTCTGCATTTAGAGGTGAGGTGTTAGCAGTTTCACGCAATCGTAACTCATCATCAGCTACATTAACAATGTCCAGCAATACAGATTTGTATTCATTAATGTGTCCAGTAAAGTTAGCAAGAGTTCTGAAAAAAATATTAATATACTGTATGCATTTTATTTTATTTATACTGTCAAATTATAATTACAACAGTAGTCTGTCCAGTACCTAGAAGGTGAGCAAGGCACAAAAGTACTAAAATTACACTAAAATACAAAAAAACTATTATTGGACACATTAATAGAGTACATGTGAGCATGAGCCAAGGAGGTAAGGCTTAAGTGCCAAGTGTGTGCATCCATCAACAGCACACAGGTCTAACTAAAGGATCAACATGACTGGGCACAACTGAAACTAAGGAGACAGATAAAATCCATTTCTGGGGAGCCCTGTCAGCTCCCTGAAGTTATCGCACTGATTAAGTGCCATACTACTTAGTGCCACCAGTTGTGGATTTCTATTGATCTACCTGGGACCACAAGCCAGACCCTGGCTTTCCCTTACAAAGGTGCAGGGAGAGATGACCTATGAAAACTTTACATTTAATGTTTATCATATTTGCCACCATCTGAGGGAGGGCACCCAGAAAGATAAGTAAATCAAAACACATGTTTTAGTTGTTGTTTTAGATTCAGCCACTCGGAACAAAAAGTTCCAAGCGGCATGGGCTATGGTGACGTTGTACTTACCTTGCACAGGAGATGTCAAACAAACTACTGCATGGTTAAAAATGAAACCACAGCCCCAAAATTGCCAAAAGAACTCCCAACAATGCAAACAAATCACCTAAATTTAATGAAACTAGTGCTTGCTACTTTAGCCAACCTCCCCACCTCATTTTTTTTTTTTTTTTTTTTTTTTTTGAGATATATACAAGAGTTGTTACATTCATGTACAGCCACTAGTACGCGTAGTGTTTCGGGCAGGTCCCTGGAATACGATCCCCTGCCGCGAAGAATCGTTTTTTCATCCAAGTACACATTTTACTGTTGCGTTAAACAGAGGCTACAGTTAAGGAATTGCGCCCAGTAAATCCTCCCCGGCCAGGATACGAACCCATGACATAGCGCTCGCGGAACGCCAGGCGAGTCTCTTACCACTACACCACGGAGACTGTAAATTTGGGGGAAGGAGGGAGACAGACCGGGTCAGCCAGGCCCCACCACCTTCAGTTCTAAGCTGATGGTGATCTGGTGCTGTCCTAGTCACTCGGCTCCAGTTTCCTGTCATCAGCTAAGTGTGCTACTTAGGGCCTTTGGGACAGGGTTGCTTTGTTGGGCTCTATAGCCTGCTGAGGTTTAATGGTGCCTGTTTGCATTCCAGATGTTTACATTTGCTACTTTTCAACTCTTTTGTAGCCTGGTTGGGATATAAAGAGCCCAATTGTGTTACCAGCTCTTTACATTCGTGGTTTCGGCGCCTCGGTTCTGGCGACCCTGCTCGGGAGGCTGTGTGTGTGTCTGCGTAGCATGAACCAGGAGTTTAGTGTACAGTGGTACCTTCGTTTACGATCATAATCCGTTCCCAGAGACGCGTCGTCAACCAAAAATTTGATAACCAAAATGAATTTTCCCATAATAAATATGGGAAAATTAATTCGTAAATTGAATTAATCCATTCCACACCCCCAAAAATATTAACTTAAAAATACATTTTATACCAAATAACACTCATTTTGTATTAGCTATAATACAGTATGTATATCTTACCTTGAATGAGGACTCTTGGTGGAGTATGGAAGACAATGAGGAGGAGGAAAAATGCTAGTGCTTGGAAGGGAGGGGGGGGGGGGGGAAGTTCCCTTCCAAGCTACTGGAAGACTTTCTTGGAACCCATGGTGTGACATATAATAAGAATTTTTATGTTAAAAAAGCAAAAAAGCAGGCAAACAACAAAATTCTTCACAAAGAATTCAAGCGCAGCCGCGGTCGTCACTCCACAGGATAGACTTGTAAACAAACTGAGAGTGCCTCGCCCCGCGCCCCCAACACCAAACCCTCATTCGATCTATACGCGTAAGAACAGATGTCTTCCAAGTAAACCGTCATACACCAAATTAAAATTTTACGATGAATTCGACATCGTATAAACATACTAAATCCCTGACATACTAAAAACAGCAGAGATAGCACCACTCCATAAAGGAGGAAATAAGGCAGAGGCAAAAAATTACAGACCGATAGCACTAACATTGCACATCATAAAAATTTTTGAGTGCTAAGAAGTAAGATCACAAAATACATGGAATCACAGCATCTCCATAACCCCGGACAACATGGTTTCAGAACAGGGCGCTCTTGCCTGTCGCAGTTGCTGGACCACTATGATATGGCATTAGATGCTATGGAAGACAAACAAAACGCTGATGTAATTTACACAGATTTCGCAAAAGCTTTTGATAAATGTGACCATGGTGTTATTGCACATAAAATGCGTTCAAAAGGAATTACCGGGAAAATAGGCAGATGGATCTACAATTTCCTGACTGACAGAACCCAATGTGTAATAGTCAACAAAATAAAATCCAGCCCATCAACCGTGAAGAACTCAGTCCCCCAGGGTACTGTGCTTGCTCCAGTACTTTTTCTCATCCTCATATTGGACATAGACCAGAACACAACCTATAGCACTGTATCATCCTTTGCAGATGACACTAGGATTTTCATGAGTTGGCAACATAGAGGACACGGCAAACCTCCAATCAGATGTAGATCAGGTCTTTCTATGGGCTACAGAAAATAATATGGTATTCAACGAGGATAAGTTTCAGCTCATGCGCTACGGAAAAATTGAAAATATAAAAACAGAAACCACGTACAAAACGCAGGCAAATCATAACATAGAACGAAAAGGCAATGTAAAGGACCTGGGTGTACTCATGTCGGAAGACCTTACCTTTAAAGAACACAATAAAGTAGCCGTCACAACTGCAAGAAAAATGACAGGTTGGATAACAAGAACTTTTCACACTAGAGATGCTATACCGATGATGATACTTTTCAAAACGCTTGTGCTATCTAGAGTGGAGTACTGCTGCACAATGACAGCCCCTTTCAAAGCTGGAGAAATTGCTGACCTAGAGAGCGTGCAGAGATCCTTTACTGCTAGAATCCACTCAGTAAAACATCTAAATTACTGGGACCGACTAAAGAGCCTAAATCTGTACTCCCTTGAGCGCAGGCGGGAGAGATACATAATAATTTACACGTGGAAAATAATTGAGGGGCTGGTCCCAAACCTGCACACAGAAATAACACCACATGAGACCAGAAGACATGGCAGAATGTGCAGAATACCCCCGTTGAAAAGCAGAGGTGCAACAGGTACTCTGAGAGAGAACTCTATCAACATCAGAGGCCCGAGACTGTTCAACACGCTTCCACTACACATAATGGGCATAACTGGCAAACCCCTCAGTGTTCAAGAGAGAACTGGATAAGCACCTCCAAAGGATACCTGATCAACCAGGCTGTGACTCATACGTCAGGCTGCGAGCAGCCGCGTTTAACAGCCTGGTTGATCAGTCCAGCAACCAGGAGGCCTGGTCGACGACCGGGCCGCGGGGACACTAAGCCCCGGAAGCACCTCAAGGTAACCTCAAGGTAAGGTATACCAAAAAATTCGTACTCTAGGGCAATCGTCAACTGAGGTTCCATTGTACTTGGAACTTCATGAGCTCAGGATCCTCTTCACTCTGTGCTCTTTTCGTACTACCCTAGTGCAGTCAGGGCTAGTTTTTCTGGGGCGTTTAGGATATGCTAATATGTTCAGGATAAGGTAAGGCAGTGGTCTGTGGCCATCTGTCTTCCACAGGGTTGGGAGTGTTTTTGGCTGGCGGGGCACACTGTGTCTGCACGACCAGTTATTTGTTTAACACAAGGCATATGGATGTTTCTCCCAAGTTGCTGGTTCATCACGGGTTTGTTTTGGGGCTTTTGTTTGCTTTCATTGGTTTTTGCATGTTTTTGCTTGGGAGTTTTACCTTTCACCTTATTAGGCTTACCTAGGGCATGTATGGCAGGGTTCCATTGATGGAGGCTTGGGGGGAGTCCCTTTCTGTGTTCCTCCTGTGTGCCATGGTTCGTTTCAGTTCTGGGCCCATCTTTAGGTTCAATTCTTCCTCCACTTTTTGTCTACACTCTGCTTCTGGTGCCATTTGCCCTCTTTTTTTTCTTTAAAGATATTCCATCTGTTCACTGCTTCCTTCCTTTGGGTTGGGTGTTTTCATGCTTCATCTCCCTTCTCACATGTTGGCAAGCCGTGTTGGCCCTGTCTTTGGACTTGGCATGGGCCCTGACTCTACTCTCTGCTTCTTCCCCTCTTTGTTCCATGCAGACTTCTCACTGTTATACGCTGCGGGCCAATAGGCCTTCTGCAGTTACCTTTGTTCTTATGTTCTTATGTTTGCTTGGCCCTGGTGACCATTTGCTCGTTTGCCACCGCCTCCTTTTCAGGTGAGGGTTGGGTCGGTAATCATTCTGTGGGGTCCTTTTTGGTTGCTTGGTTTCCTTGGCTGCGGGTGCATCCTGCACATTGATGGGTGGCCAGTTCATCGCTGCTTTTGTGCCACAGGATTCTGTTTCAGCGGCATCGTTGTTAGTCCTCTGGTTTCCCTGGTTCCTTATTTAGGGGTTCGGGTTTCTCAGGTCATCCACTGTATCCTTTCTTTTCACCAGCCTGCGGTCTGCCCTCGTGCTCTTGATGTCTGTTGTCTACTACTCTGCCAGCTGAGTTTGGGTGTGTTCTTGGGCTGCTTTGTAAGCATGAGGGGTCTTGGCACCTGGAGTCTTGCACCTGTTTCAGGCCCTTGGCAGGCCTGTGGAACTTAGTGTCATGTGTTGTGGTTGTCTGTCAATTCTTTGACTTGTTACCTACGGTGCTGCCACCTCCCTGGTTGGTGCCCTTTTTTTTCCCTCTGTGGATGGCTAGCTTTGGGGAGCCACTGGGGCTTTCCCCCCAGAAAACCAGCATTGAATGTAATGAAACGCCAATTTCTGAGTGAACCCTGGAGGCCTTCTGAAATCCTCCTTCCCAGGGCATCAGCATGTTTCATCCTCTTAGAAATGAAGGTGGTGGGACCTGGCGGATCCGGTCCGCCTCCCTCCTCCCTCCAACCAAGGGAAAAGGTGGGGTAAATTAGCAAGCACACGTTTCATGAAATTTTGGTGGTTTGTTTTCATTGTTGTGGAGTTCTTTTGGCAATTTTGGGGTAGTGTCTTTTTTTTTAACCATTCAGTAGTTTGCTTTGATTCGCCTATGTTTCTGGGTGCCTTTCCTTGGATGATGACAAAGATGATAAACTTTACATTTAAAGTGTTCATAAGCCATCGCTCCCTGTGCCTCTCTATGAGCCAGGTTCTGGCTCGTGGTCCCTGGTAAGCCAATAGAACTTCGTGGTTAATGACACCTAGTAGTGTGGCACTTAATCAGTGAGATAGCTTCAGGAAGCCAATGGGGCTCCCCTCAGAAAAGAAGTGGAACATGTTAAGACATGTAATAGGGAAGTGTAGCCATAGCCACATCAATGACAGAACTAATGCCACCAGCTGGCAGCTCCGTGCATGTGCACTAGGTGGTGCTTCATACCCAGGTTCAAATGAGCTACATTCTGAGTGATTCTTTTGCAGTGTGTTGGCTGTTTCGGTGCTTCACTTTCATAAAACATGCTTTCTTGGTGAGGGTGATCATAACATTCGCTTGCTTTGTGCCACTGAGGGGAAGGGGGGAAGACATAAGGTAGCTCTAGGTCCCCAGTAGACCATCAGAACTCTGAAAACTGATGTGACTGTGTATGGAAAGCTCCTCAGTGAATTAACTTCAGGCAGCCACCATGGGGCTTCCCAGAAAGACCCAATCTACAAATTTGGAGGTTTTCAAATCCATAAGATTTTAATGCAATGCTCTTGCAGAACAAAAATATTGCACATACCAAAAAGCTTTCTGACATTCAAATACTGTATTTGATGTTTGAACTTAAAGATAAATGTAATAACCTTAAAATCTTCTACAATGTTCTTCATTTTGATATTGGTTAGTCTTAGTTTGCCTAAATTACCATGTCTAAAGTACACACCTTCAAGCTAAAAGTTGTCATAGAACTCAGCACCCATGTCCCTTTTATTTACATCAATCTTATAAGAAATATATATATTTTAATTTTTAGAAATGTTATTTATAGACTACACTGACTCCATCCAACTCAATGTAATTCAAAAACATATATAGGACCTCCACAAGACACATTCTTTGTTGTTACTAAAGTTACATAGTAATTAAAAGGAATTCAAAGCTTGTAATTTCAGACATCTTCGAAATAAACGAGTATTCAAATAAATTTTATACTGGTGTTTCATTTCTTAAAATATAGTCCTGGCTTCTGATACACCTAAATAGCTGAGACTGAGGCACTATTGTAAATCAATATCACAACCCACAGAACTTACTTAAAGAATGCATCTCTGAAGTCCTGAAGATCATTAGAATCAGTTGAAGTGAAGAATGCTGCTTTCATGAGAACCTTCAGCTGCTGAATCCTCCATGTCAGATGATTTTCACTCGACACCTTCGGGTGTGCCGCTAAGAGCCTCAAAGCATGTGCTGCACAGTTCTGATCTGCAGGTTTCACATTCCTTATTTTCTGAAAATTATAACAACATCTAGAACTTTTTTCTAACTTTAATCACATTAGGTTATTCAAGACTGGAATCCCAGTCCTTAATGTTGACTTCTTGTGTGAAAACATGGGATATAATAACTACGAACAAAATCTTGAGAATAGATAAAATCGATAAAGGAAGCCTATTTCAATTAAGGTAAGACAAAGGGACATCGGAGGAAGCTAGATATGCAGTTGCATCAAAGATATGTAAAGAAGTTCTCATTCATTGTACAAGTGGTAGGAAAGAGGAATGCATTGAAGGACGAGGTTGTGGAAGCAAATTCCAGCCACATCTTTACTAAGATATATGAAAATATTAATATTAAGAGGGGTAATTAGCAAACTGGTATAAATGGCTAGGTGGTGGGGCATAAAGAGCTAGTTTTCACTCCCTGACATTGCTTACCTGTCACTGAGAGGTAAGCAATGATAGGGAAACACAAGGTTATCAACAATTCATAGAAATTAAAATCCTTTCTATTCCAGATGCAAAAAAGATTATGAAAGTATTGTTTAAAATACAAATGCCCTACCCTCGTCCTCTCTATACATAGCACCATATTGTGCAACACAGACATACACATACAATAATATATTGTAAAATATATATACATACAGTAAAGTATTATATAACATTGACCTACATATTCAATAGCGAGAAAACACTGAAGAAATATGAATGCACCAACATGGACATACATAATACAGGAGGTCTTTGTTATACAAACACAACACACATCAAACAAACAGTCGTCCATCTGAGAGGCCTTTTAATTAAGTCCCCATTCATGAATCAATTCATTAACCTAACCCACTGCACCATCTACAATATTACCAGCAGTGCTAAAACATCTGCATGGTGGCCACGTGGTGACATAGGATGGTACAACAATATTTGCATGACCAACCAGGCAAGATGGTCATGGTCAAATCATACACAAAGCTCTGACAATTTAATTTAACACGAAACAACAAACAAAGCACGAAAAAGTTTATGGAACGGGGCAGAAGAGACATTCACCCCGAATGCAAGCTGGAGCAGTCACATAGATCAGAAGACGTCGAGACCACGCCGACACAAAGAGGTCCAAGTCCGGGAGTCCGTACATCCGGCAGAGACAACAGAAAGAGTCGGCGTTGACCATCCATTCTGTAGACAGAGGAATGAACCAAGACAGGCCGTCCGCCAGGACGTTGGACACTCCACGGCTATGAACCGCACGGAGATCCAAACCCAGAGAAGCCAGCAGATGAGCCACTCAAAGCAACCAGCCCCAAAGAGGCTATGACCAAAGAGAACCCCCGCGGTTCAGGCAATGAACCACCAGAGAACGGTCCGAATGGAGCCGGATGGTCGAACCCCGAGCGACCCGAACCCGCTGAAGCAATAGCCAAACCGAAGAGAACTCCCGCACCGTGCTGTGAGCCTGATGGACAGACCCCATCAACCCTGGCCGGCCTGGTGAGCACTGGTCACAAAGCCCTCGCTGAGAGATAAACCCATCGAGCGAGGGTTTGGGGAGGCGCCAAGGCACTTAACCCGAAAACTCAGAAGAGGAAGCCGGCGACTATGCAAGAGGTTGAAGCTAGGCAAGCTACCTCATTTCACATATGCAAAGCAAACATGATACTGAGAATGTCAAGCAGTGTAAAAGCACAAAGTACAATAGCTAGAAGGTGAGGCTGTAAAGCTAGATCTTGCTCTCTTTAGACCCAGGGAAGCGTATGAATGATCAGAAAGCTTCTCTACACCTCAATGACACATTAACTCATCGTGACCATGTTAATATTCACAATAAACAAATGTAACAAATATTAAGTTACCTTTATTATAATCATTTTCAAAACTTTTGCTAAGCCCTTGATAGTAGTTAATGTGAAATGATTTTTCATTTGAGCCAATAACTTTGTCCCTGTTAGCTGGTCAAATCTCACACTACCAGGAGGAAGAATTAGTGCTTTCACAACAGCCAGTTGGACATCACTGAAAGAAAAATATGCACAATGATTAGAGATTAAATATATCAAAGATAAGCAATAATGGTAAAAATTAGAACAATATGGAAGAGTGCACAGTATAGTAGTGAATATACTTTCTAAACAAAGTTTTAAAGTTCAACTTTTTTATATACAACAGCTGAAAATATTAGACAAAGCTGTCATATAATAGGAAACCAAAGTAGAGTACATATTACTGGACTGGCACAGTGGCTGTCCATCACCATGCTGAGTGGCAGCAGTCCACATGCCTACAAATGAACACATCAAGGTTTGTATACTAGGTGGTGCTGGGTAAGAAATTAATTTCCTAGTCACCATTTCTGAAAAACAAAGGCATACTTTGTGGTGCATTGTGACAGTAAAGTGATGTTCACCTACATGCTTATTTATTATGTAGTTTGACCTGTTTCAATTGTAAATATATACAAATACTCATTACAGTATTTGCTTAGTTAATGTGTTATAATTTCATTCTTCGTGGAAGGTCGTAAGCAACCATAATATGCCGATTATTGGCACTTTCCCGTCCCCGGCGCGCACTCCCTTCAGTGACTTTAGCCTTTTATCCAAATGCCACCATTGCTACTGTCTCTATGAGCTTTTAGACAATTTCCATTACCTGGGGGATTGTACATGCAACTATTATCATTCAGTTCTCTAGGGTTACATGAACCCACCCCCCAAAATGTTGCAGCAGTGTGCCTCCAGAAGCATACCTGGAGAGGGTTTTCTACTCCCCGAGTGTGATAACTTGGTTCAACAGGCTGTTGCTTTGAGTGGCCCCCAGGCCAACATATCCACAAAAATCCAGTTGGTCCAGAACTTCTTTTATTATCTTCAAAAGAGGAAATTTTCATGTTGATTTTATCATCTTTGATGTCTTTGGTCGCTTAATAGCTGAGTGGACAGCACTTCAGATTCATAGTCCTGAGGTTCCAGGTTCGATTCCCAGTGGAGGCGGAGACAAATAGGCAAAATGTTTCTTTCACCCTGATGCCCCGTTACCTAGCAGTAAATGGGTACTTGGGAGTTAGACAGCTGCTACGGGCTGCTTCCTGGGGGGTGTAACAAACAGGAGGCCTGGTCGAAGACTGGGCCGCGGGGACGCTAAGCCCCGAAACCGTCTCAAGATAACTTCAAGAAGATCTACAAAGGATGACACAAAACTGTGACTAGTATTTTTTACTAGTATTCTTTGTCTTCTTCTGTGTATAATCCTTCAACTGTAAATAAATATCCAACACTGGTGGAGGTTTATTATTTTGATTTTGCACATGTAAAAAAATATTTGGGGGTTTTCTTTATCTCTTATATTGTTTTATATTCCAATTCTAATTCCTCAGCCTGGTATCATCTCTTCAGTATCTGCTCCAATTTTTCAATCTCCATGTTTAGATTTATTTTGCATCAGTTAACACATCAGTTAACTTCACAATTTGTGAAAGACACATTTCAGCAAATTTCTATGTACTGTACTGTAAATAAGATGACATAAGGATTGGAACTAAACAGATAGTCCAAAGAAAATTTATTCACCCATCTTTGGCACTAACTGCATTAAAACAAAAACTTAAGAATGTAATAATTTGTTCAATACTCAGCACATACTATACCTGCTTTCATCTTGGTTTGCAGCAACCAATTGCAATAATGCAGATGCAAGGCCACGAGCAGAAAAACTAAGATCCCGATCATGTCTGGAGACTGTGGTTAGCAACAGAGCAACCAAAGAGCCAGAAACCACAGCAGCCACCTCAGACCCCTTTCCCAGTTTTGGAAGCACTAACTGTAATATAAGGAAAAATTACATTTTAAATAAATACTTTAAATCACTTTGGAGCTATTGTAGAAGGTATTCAGAGCACTTAATATTCAGTGACTATGGGGAAGTGAGAGCTAGCTCTTCATCTAGCCTAGGTGTACCAGTTGCATTATAATTTAACAAATTTGACATTAAAATTCTTTATTGAATCTGGCTTTAAATATGTGAAAAGAGGTGGCTTAAACAACTACTTTTATCAGCACATTCCACTTGTTGACTGCCTGTTAAGGTATGAGTATTTCTTTACATTTCTTCAAATCACTTGCATTTCCAGCTTCTTATATCCTTGTCCTGCTTTCTTTCAGTTTATGAAGCTGTCCTTCACCTTGTCTATTCCCCTTTGTCTTGTATGTTGTGATGATATGTACTACTGCTTCTTCTCTCCTCTAGGCTTGTCAAATCTAGTTCCCTTAAGAGACCAAACCACAATTCAAAAGATGGAGAAGCGACGACATTTCAGTGCATCCTGGACCATTATCAAGTCATGACAGAAAAAAGGTACAGGCAAATATTAGGTAAGAGATTAAGATGAGAGGTGAAGAGCAAGTAAGAGAGTGGGGTGAGGAGCAGGTAAGAGAAGGTAATGATAGGATGAATACAAGAATAAGGTAAGAATATGATGAATGTAAGAATAAGGAAAGAATAGGATGAATGTAAGAATAAGGTAGAAAAGGAAGAATTTAAGAATCAAAGTAAGTGGAAAGGTAAGAATAAGAAAATTGGGTAGGGAAAAAGCAACCAGGGCAAAGTCTTATCACTTTTGTTAAGAAGGAGTCCTTAACATGACAGAAGAGAGAATTGTTTGTATCTGCAGACTTAACACTTCTTTTGTTTTTTAAAGCCAGTTTCGCCAAAGTAATCGAGAGGAGAAAGACGAACAGGAAATAGAGTAGACACCAGCAGCATTAGAAGCAGGAGCAGCAGTGAACCAGAGTTCTGCAAAGTGTGTTAGTTTGTCGAAAGGGTGAGTTTCACATCAAGGGGATGAAGGGTATTAGTGAGATTTTGGAGTCCAGATACAAGGGCAAGGAAAAGCACAGTGGTGCTAGTGTTGGGAATTTTGCTTAGCTTGATAATAGGTTACAAGTTAATAAAATGTAAGGGAACACCAAGGCGAGAGAAAGATTTATAAATATAGGAAATTTCAGTCAAGAAATTGTGGGTCACTGATGATTCCTCTGAGCGCAGAGGAAGAGAGAGAGAGACAAGAACACTTTTTTGACAGAAGGAGAATGATAAGAAAAGAAGAAAAGGTACATACCACAATGCATGGGTTTGCAGTAAACAGACACAGAGCTGTGAACATGAAAATCAAGAAAAGGAAGGAGGGAATTAGGTTTCCATTTAACTTCGAAATTGATAGGAGCCAGTGTTAATGAGAAAAGAGGAAAGGGCAGAATAGACTAGGGCCATGAGGCCATAGAGCAAAAAACCAGCGTTGAATGTAATGAAACTCCATTTTCTGGGTGAGCCCTGTCGGCACCCTAAAGCTATCCGAACGGATATGTGCTATATTAGTTTGCGGTCATTAGTCACAGGAGCTCTTATGCCTACCGGGAACCACTAGCCAGAACCTGGTCCCTTCAGAGAGGCGCATGCAGCAATGGCCTATGAGCACTTTACGTTTAAATTATGTTATAATTGCCATCGACCGGGAAAGGATCCAGAAAGGTAGGCGAATCAAAACAGACCACTGTCTGGTTAACGGTTAACCTGTACAATCTACATCCCTAAAGATCAAAATAACTCCCCAAGAAAGAAACCAAGCAAGGAACCCTTCAGGTGAGTAGCACTTCCACTCCTCAGTGCTACACCCTCCTCCCCAGGAAGGGCAGACGGCAGCCCACCACTAGTTTTTGAACGATGAAAAACTGCCGACAAGGGAGGGAGGGTGTCAGGGAGCCACCGGGACTCACCCAGAAAATGGCGTTTCATTACATTCAACGCTGGTTTTCTGTGGGGAGCCCCATCTGTTCCCTGAAACCAACTTCCCAAATATAAATAAAAGGAGGGACTTACCTGGGAGGCAGCAGTACCGCAGGTCTCAAGACGAAGAAAAGACAGACGACCACGACCGGTGACCCAAAGTCACACACAGTCAGGAAGGAACTGGAATTTCCAGTTCACTAGTAACCTGGTGGCCAGAACCCTGTTCAACCTTCAAAGCCCCCATGCCCAAATGTCTACCCAAGGCCTGTTGTCAAACCAAGCCCAGAAGATAAACCAGCAGGGCAAAGTTCAGGCTTCTGCACAGCTGTTCGAGCAACCACCGAGAGACCTGGGTCTCCCTCAAAAACAGCTCAAGGCGGGACCCCAACCGACGCCTCTCCACGGCGGGGAGAGCCTTAGTGAGTGCCGTTACGTATGAAGGACAGTGCTCGAATGTGATGGCATGATCACCACCACCAGTTGGGGCAGCAGAGCACACCACCACAGTTGGGGCAGCAGAGCACACCACCACCAGTTGGGGCAGCAGAGCACACCACCACAGTTGGGGCAGCAGAGCACACCACCACCAGTTGGGGCAGCAGAGCACACCACCACCAGTTGGGGCAGCAGAGCACACCACCACCAGTTGGGGCAGCAGAGCACACCACCACCAGTTGGGGCAGCAGAGCACACCACCACCAGTTGGGGCAGCAGAGCACACCACCACCAGTTGGGGCAGCAGAGCACACCACCACCAGTTGGGGCAGCAGAGCACACCACCACCAGTTGGGGCAGCAGAGCACACCACCACAGTTGGGGCAGCAGAGCACACCACCACAGTTGGGGCAGCAGAGCACACCACCACAGTTGGGGCAGCAGAGCACACCACCACAGTTGGGGCAGCAGAGCACACCACCACAGTTGGGGCAGCAGAGCACACCACCACCAGTTGGGGCAGCAGAGCACACCACCACCAGTTGGGGCAGCAGAGCACACCACCACCAGTTGGGGCAGCAGAGCACACCACCACCAGTTGGGGCAGCAGAGCACACCACCACCAGTTGGGGCAGCAGAGCACACCACCACCAGTTGGGGCAGCAGAGCACACCACCACAGTTGGGGCAGCAGAGCATATCGGACTCACAGTCACGAGTATAATGGGAACCAGAGCATTTGCCACATTTGATGTCGTTGGTGCAGCCTTGTGGGGTATGCTGAAAACCTTTATAACGAAAGCACTGAGTGGGACGGGTCACGTACACCTCCAATTTATGGAGGAAGCCACTGATCCAAATCCAATCAGGGGTAAAGGAGTCAAGAAAAGTAAGGAGGGCAGTGCCAGTATCACACAGTTCACCATTAGCCCTACGCAGAAACTTCCTGACACCGAAGATCGGAATATCAGCATCCTGCATTTGGCGCTTTGATGTTGTCCGCACTAATGACAACTCCAAGACCGAGAGAAAGACGCGATCGGAATGCGTGCCAAGTAACAACGGATCCTGAAAACCCTCAACAGGATTGGGAATGTCAAAGGGAGAGATGCTGTACACACCACCATCCGTCGTCATGGTCGTCCGGCAAGTCCACGTTACTGTCAGTTGCATTTGAGCAGACCTTGCACACCATCGGATTAGTCATTCACTTAAAGTCTATACATCTCTTGTTATTTCAATGCAGCATTTGAAACAAAAATCTTTTCAGAACTAAACAACCACTTTGTGTGAAACTCACCTGCAAAACATTAAAGAGCAACTGTATTTTTCCTGTTGAAGGACACTCCAAATAAGGTGCTAATCCAACCACCCAAAACTTCTCCAAGTTAGTGGCTGTCACATGATGATCAGATGTGAGGCTGTGAATAACATCTTCCACCAATGGATGAACCTTAGGAAAATCTGCAGTTGTTTGCTGTAAGAAATTTAATACTAGAATTCAAACTCTGATCATCTAGTTACTGTTAATCTATTATCAGATTCATTTTACTTTAAAAAATTTCCTTTATAACTTTTTACAATTAAAGCTAAATTTAAAAAGTGCACAATTGTACATATTAATAAAAACGAGTTAAAAATATTCATTCTGTGTAACACTTATTATTCAGTATTATGAATAAATTACTCAAACTATCCCTATGTAGCAACAAAATGTATGATTTTTTTAACTCAAAAACTGTAAGAATTAGTTTAAATACATGTAAACCAAAGTAACATACTTTTTTTCATATACATAGTACACAATAATTAGACCTACATACCATTACAATATGGCCTATAGCTGAATAATTGTCTGGATTTAACGTTGAAGTGAGCCACATTGGAAACTTATGCCTCTGATTCTTCAGTAATGCTAGGCGAAGCCATAGTGAGCAAGGAGAGAGATCCTTTACAGATGTATTTTTCTCTTTCTCCATATAGGTCAATATATTCATGTAAACAGCCTTATCTTCACACTGAAATTAAATACCATATTATGAATATTCTTAATTTTAAAATGTAAGACATAGGCATCACCCATTCATGTAGTGTGGGGTCCACGTGTGTTTATGTACTCTGAAAACATTATATATCTTGGGGCCCAACTTAGGGGTTGGAAAGCAGCAGAACAGGGAGAAAGCACCAAAGAAACAGCCTCTTCAGGAAACAGAAGGGCAAAAAAGGGCAGGGCAAACAAGAGAGTTAAGGACCAATCCAAACAAAGCCTGGGCCAGCACAGTCTGCTGATGTGAAATGGACCAAGAAAAACACCACCACTGCCTCCCAAAACAGAATGTACAGTTGTTAGAGCTCCTCCATGTGTGTGGTCAGGGCCATGAGGAGTGTCCAGTCAGGGCCATGAGGAGTGTCCAGTCAGGGCCCCTGCCCTCTGTCCAGTCGGGGTCCAGCACTCCGTCCAGTCGGGGTCCAGCACTCCGTCCAGTCGGGACCCTGCACTCCGTCCAGTCGGGACCCTGCACTCCGTCCAGTCGGGGTCCCACACTCCGTCCAGTCGGGGCCCTGCACTCCGCCCAGACCCTACACTGTGTGGGGTCAAGACCCTGCTCAGTGTGGGGTCAAGACCCTGCACAGTGTGGGGTCAAGACCCTGCACAGTGTGGGGTCAAGACCCTGCACAGTGTGGGGTCAAGACCCTGCACAGTGTGGGGTCAAGACCCTGCACAGTGTGGGGTCAATGTAACGGGGGGTGGGGGAAATAGCTCTATCTTGTCCATTATTCCACCCCCCCCAGTTAACTAACGAGGCCGGGGGAAACAGCTCTCTCTAGTCCGTTATCCCGTCCCCAGTTAGTTAACTATTCTAGAGAACCTCCAGAGTTCCTAAGGCAACCTCTCTGGTTCAACACCTTGTAACCTAGGTATTTGACTACCTAGGTGCTAAGACTACAAGGCGCCGTAACTGGATCAGCTACCCGAAACTCTAGAGAGAACTCTAGAGTACAGAATCATTGCCACAAACGTATAAGAGAAAACGAAAGGAAAGAAATGAATAGTGAAGTAATTAGTGAGGGCTTGGGGTGAGAGGTAGAGAGGTGGGAGGAGCGAGGAGGGTCATTAGCTGAAAGTGAGAGTTTAGAGAGGGGGTGGAGGGAGAGGTGTAGATAGGTAGAAGTAGAAGAGTAGATAGTAGAAGTAGAGTAGATAGTAGAAGACGAAATGCTGCCACCATCCATTCATGATCATTACATACAAGACAAGGAATGGAACTTGCCTGTATCACAAAATTCTCAAAAGATGTTATCATGAGTTCATTATTAGTATGTTCCCTCTGTACCATGTATCATTCTCCAAACATGTACTCATTAAATCATGAAACCAGTAATCACAGAGGCTTTCTCACCTCAACTCAAAATCTCTAGGGAACAAAGTTAAACACAATTTAAATAATAAATTCATAATTATATTTCCCATGAAGTATCATCATTTAGCAATTCAATTAAAATGTTCCAGTTTAATATTTAAAGTGAGTCATCCTCCAAGAATCTGAGAACCCTACAACTTGACTGCCCCTGATCATCACACAACACTTGTAAAACACGACCAAGTCACCTTAATGTTCACTCACCGAGTACTGAGTCTAAGTTGAATAGAGAGGGGGGGGGGGGGTCTGTAGCTTGACAGAGACTGTCTCGCCCCTGCCGGCCGACAGCCTCCCTGGTAGGGACGTCGTCTCTCTCTCGTCTGCTGCTCTGTCTGTTAATGCTTTATGCTGGATAGCTCTCCGAGTTTATATTGGGGAACCTAGTAGCTAACTCCGCCCACAAGTAGATAGCCTCCGGCACTACCAAGCCACTCCTTAAACGTCGGCATGTTTGAAGGCTACCCGGCTCCAATTAAGAGCTTAGCGGAAGCAAGGTGAAATTCTCATGATCTGACCTCAGGTCACTTGGGGTCGTTAACGGTTAGAGGTGTGAGATCTCAGGCAGACAACTGGCGCCTCTCAGATCCTTGTCTGTGACTCATGTACTCTATGTATGTATTAACCTAAACCAAACACTTTTACAGTGTTACATCTCCCCTTCTCCCCGAAAATAAAGTTTTTGCAACACTGCTAAAGCAAGCTAGCTGTGTGCGACAACTTTATTAACGAAAAGAATACATCCTAGCTAAACAAATATACATCATCCTACTCTAAAAAAATGAAATATATAGACAGACGTCCATTGTCTCTGGCTGGGCGACGTCACTGCTTGGTCTTGTAGATAATCCTGTACCACATTTCTTCAACACAACTGCCTCCGTCGCTTCTCCGTCGTTAACGCACAACAACACTTGGTCAACCCGAAAGCCGTTACTACTTGAACTGAGCACAGGACCGTGGAATTCGGTTGTCCCAGCTGATCTGTAATTGGCCCTACGTCAGTCACCATGAGAGACGTATATTGGGGTTCTTCACAGCTATAGGGACTACAAGTTTCGAGACCTTCATATAGTTGCCAACAGTAGAAATCCCATCCTACTCTTCTTCCTCCCTGTTGCTCCAGCACGCCTCCTTCAGAGAGCTACTTCTGACAGCCACATCAAGTCCGCATGACACAGGAAGAATCACTCAACAGAGCAACATGCTAGTAGGAGGGGCGGCCAGTTAAGGCAAACGATCCTGTCTTGCAATTACGCTCCATGCAATGATGCTGACACCAGCAAGGAACACGAGGCATCGTGTCTCACTCAGCTTGTCTTATCTTCTTCTTCTTTCTTCTTTCTTCTCTCTTCCTTCTTCTCTCTTCTTTCTTCTCTCTTCTTTCTTCTCTCTTCCTCCTCCCATGGGTCTTTGACAAGCGACCTGGGGTCCATTGGGGTCCGTCCGTCCTGGGGTCCATCCTGGGTAGACCGATGTTGGTGGGACAGACTGGAGTCGTTGTTGCTCCTCTTCCATCTTTACTGGGTCGTCTGGGGTCGTCTGCAGAACGACCTGGGGTCCACTGGGGTCCGTAAGTCTTGGGGTCCCCTGGGGTCCGTCCGTCCTGGGGTCCACTGGGTAGACCAATGTTGACCGACCGAGAGGGCTGCATCTTGGGGTCCCCTGGGGTGGTGGTGGTGGTGGAGCCATGACCTCCAGGTAGTGGGCTGGTCGTGGTGGTGGTGATAAACGCCCCTGAGTGTGGTACATAGCAGCCGTCTCCCTCTTTTGTATGTGCGTCTCTCCTCTCTTCTGGCTCCCACCTGTGGATGAACAGAAAGGCGACAATATCGTGCTCCCAAGATATTTGTGTGACCCTGTAGTTTGTATAGGGTTACACAGTCATATCATAACGCTCTCCTCCTGGCAACAACTACACTTCAATTTTTAATAATTCAATTAACTCTGAATGATATTGACTTGGTGGAACATAAAACAGTAACAGAGTAGATAGTAGAAGACGAAATGCTGCCACCATCCATTCATGATCATTACATACAAGACAAGGAATGGAACTTGCCTGTATCACAAAATTCTCAAAAGATGTTATCATGAGTTCATTATTAGTATGTTCCCTCTGTACCATGTATCATTCTCCAAACATGTACTCATTAAATCATGAAACCAGTAATCACAGAGGCTTTCTCACCTCAACTCAAAATCTCTAGGGAACAAAGTTAAACACAATTTAAATAATAAATTCATAATTATATTTCCCATGAAGTATCATCATTTAGCAATTCAATTAAAATGTTCCAGTTTAATATTTAAAGTGAGTCATCCTCCAAGAATCTGAGAACCCTACAACTTGACTGCCCCTGATCATCACACAACACTTGTAAAACACGACCAAGTCACCTTAATGTTCACTCACCGAGTACTGAGTCTAAGTTGAATAGAGAGGGGGGGGGGGGGGGTCTGTAGCTTGACAGAGACTGTCTCGCCCCTGCCGGCCGACAGCCTCCCTGGTAGGGACGTCGTCTCTCTCTCGTCTGCTGCTCTGTCTGTTAATGCTTTATGCTGGATAGCTCTCCGAGTTTATATTGGGGAACCTAGTAGCTAACTCCGCCCACAAGTAGATAGCCTCCGGCACTACCAAGCCACTCCTTAAACGTCGGCATGTTTGAAGGCTACCCGGCTCCAATTAAGAGCTTAGCGGAAGCAAGGTGAAATTCTCATGATCTGACCTCAGGTCACTTGGGGTCGTTAACGGTTAGAGGTGTGAGATCTCAGGCAGACAACTGGCGCCTCTCAGATCCTTGTCTGTGACTCATGTACTCTATGTATGTATTAACCTAAACCAAACACTTTTACAGTGTTACATCTCCCCTTCTCCCCGAAAATAAAGTTTTTGCAACACTGCTAAAGCAAGCTAGCTGTGTGCGACAACTTTATTAACGAAAAGAATACATCCTAGCTAAACAAATATACATCATCCTACTCTAAAAAAATGAAATATATAGACAGACGTCCATTGTCTCTGGCTGGGCGACGTCACTGCTTGGTCTTGTAGATAATCCTGTACCACATTTCTTCAACACAACTGCCTCCGTCGCTTCTCCGTCGTTAACGCACAACAACACTTGGTCAACCCGAAAGCCGTTACTACTTGAACTGAGCACAGGACCGTGGAATTCGGTTGTCCCAGCTGATCTGTAATTATCCCACCGCTGCCACCATTGTAACGGGGGGTGGGGGAAATAGCTCTATCTTGTCCATTATTCCACCCCCCCCAGTTAACTAACGAGGCCGGGGGAAACAGCTCTCTCTAGTCCGTTATCCCGTCCCCAGTTAGTTAACTATTCTAGAGAACCTCCAGAGTTCCTAAGGCAACCTCTCTGGTTCAACACCTTGTAACCTAGGTATTTGACTACCTAGGTGCTAAGACTACAAGGCGCCGTAACTGGATCAGCTACCCGAAACTCTAGAGAGAACTCTAGAGTACAGAATCATTGCCACAAACGTATAAGAGAAAACGAAAGGAAAGAAATGAATAGTGAAGTAATTAGTGAGGGCTTGGGGTGAGAGGTAGAGAGGTGGGAGGAGCGAGGAGGGTCATTAGCTGAAAGTGAGAGTTTAGAGAGGGGGTGGAGGGAGAGGTGTAGATAGGTAGAAGTAGAAGAGTAGATAGTAGAAGTAGAGTAGATAGTAGAAGACGAAATGCTGCCACCATCCATTCATGATCATTACATACAAGACAAGGAATGGAACTTGCCTGTATCACAAAATTCTCAAAAGATGTTATCATGAGTTCATTATTAGTATGTTCCCTCTGTACCATGTATCATTCTCCAAACATGTACTCATTAAATCATGAAACCAGTAATCACAGAGGCTTTCTCACCTCAACTCAAAATCTCTAGGGAACAAAGTTAAACACAATTTAAATAATAAATTCATAATTATATTTCCCATGAAGTATCATCATTTAGCAATTCAATTAAAATGTTCCAGTTTAATATTTAAAGTGAGTCATCCTCCAAGAATCTGAGAACCCTACAACTTGACTGCCCCTGATCATCACACAACACTTGTAAAACACGACCAAGTCACCTTAATGTTCACTCACCGAGTACTGAGTCTAAGTTGAATAGAGAGGGGGGGGGGGGGTCTGTAGCTTGACAGAGACTGTCTCGCCCCTGCCGGCCGACAGCCTCCCTGGTAGGGACGTCGTCTCTCTCTCGTCTGCTGCTCTGTCTGTTAATGCTTTATGCTGGATAGCTCTCCGAGTTTATATTGGGGAACCTAGTAGCTAACTCCGCCCACAAGTAGATAGCCTCCGGCACTACCAAGCCACTCCTTAAACGTCGGCATGTTTGAAGGCTACCCGGCTCCAATTAAGAGCTTAGCGGAAGCAAGGTGAAATTCTCATGATCTGACCTCAGGTCACTTGGGGTCGTTAACGGTTAGAGGTGTGAGATCTCAGGCAGACAACTGGCGCCTCTCAGATCCTTGTCTGTGACTCATGTACTCTATGTATGTATTAACCTAAACCAAACACTTTTACAGTGTTACATCAAGACCCTGCACAGTGTGGGGTCAAGACCCTGCACAGTGTGGGGTCAAGACCCTGCACAGTGTGGGGTCAAGACCCTGCACAGTGTGGGGTCAAGACCCTGCACAGTGTGTGGTCAAGACCCTGCACAGTGTGGGGTCAAGACCCTGCACAGTGTGGGGTCAAGACCCTGCACAGTGTGGGGTCAAGACCCTGCACAGTGTGTGGTCAAGACCCTGCACAGTGTGTGGTCAAGACCCTGCACAGTGTGTGGTCAAGACCCTGCACAGTGTGTGGTCAAGACCCTGCACAGTGTGTGGTCAAGACCCTGCACAGTGTGTGGTCAAGACCCTGCACAGTGTGTGGTCAAGACCCTGCACAGTGTGTGGTCAAGACCCTGCACAGTGTGTGGTCAAGACCCTGCACAGTGTGTGGTCAAGACCCTGCACAGTGTGTGGTCAAGACCCTGCACAGTGTGTGGTCAAGACCCTGCACAGTGTGTGGTCAAGACCCTGCACAGTGTGTGGTCAAGACCCTGCACAGTGTGTGGTCAAGACCCTGCACAGTGTGTGGTCAAGACCCTGCACAGTGTGTGGTCAAGACCCTGCACAGTGTGTGGTCAAGACCCTGCACAGTGTGTGGTCAAGACCCTGCACAGTGTGTGGTCAAGACCCTGCACAGTGTGTGGTCAAGACCCTGCACAGTGTGTGGTCAAGACCCTGCACAGTGTGTGGTCAAGACCCTGCACAGTGTGTGGTCAAGACCCTGCACAGTGTGTGGTCAAGACCCTGCACAGTGTGTGGTCAAGACCCTGCACAGTGTGTGGTCAAGACCCTGCACAGTGTGTGGTCAAGACCCTGCACAGTGTGTGGTCAAGACCCTGCACAGTGTGTGGTCAAGACCCTGCACAGTGTGTGGTCAAGACCCTGCACAGTGTGTGGTCAAGACCCTGCACAGTGTGTGGTCAATATGACCAGTCAGGAACATGCACTATGTAACTACCATAGTGCACCTTTGTTTCCTTTGTTTCAATCTGTGTCCTCTTGTTCGTGAAGCTGCTGGTTTCAGAAATTCCTCTGTCAGTTTGGTTGATTTCTGTTAGTACAGTACTTTGTAAGTAGTGATAGTGAACTCCTCTTTTGTCTATCTTCTAGTTTTGGCATATTTAATGCCTCCAGCGTCTCCTCGCAACTTGAGATTTTCAGTTCCGGCAGCCCTTTTGTAGCATGCCGTTGCACCTTTTCCAGTTTATTTATGCGCTTCTTGAGATTTGGGCACCATAGAACTGCAGCACATTACAATTTTGGTCTCACAAAAGTCATGAACAGTTTCTTTAGTATTCACCATCCATATAATTAAAAGCCAGTCTGAAGTTGGAAAGCAACACATACACTCCTCTCACAATGTTCTTTGTGTGTTCCTCTAGTAACAGACTATACAAAACCAGCTCTAGGTCTCGTTCTTTATTAGAGTTCTGTAATTCCTTTCCACATAATTTGTAAGTTGTGTGTGGTCTATTTTCTCTGATTCCACATTCCATAACATGACATTTATTCACGTTGAATTCCATTTGCCACTTGCTGCTCCAAGCACTTATTTTATCTAGATAAATTGAAGGGCATAACAATCATCTGCATCTCCTATCTTCCCCAGTATCTTAGCATTACCCACAAACATTTCATTTAATTCTGTATTCCTTCTGGTAGACTTTTTATGTAGAGAATGAACATTTCTGATGCAAGAATTGAACCCTGTGGTACACTGCTAGTAACACTTCTCCAGTTAGGTACATTGTCTCTGATTACTGCCCCTCATCTGTCTGTCAGTTGGAAAATTTTTCCTCCACGTCAGAAATCTCCGTCACCCCTCTAGCATGTTCCAGTTTCCAGAACAGCCTCTTGCATGGGACTATCAAAAGCCTTTTTATAGGTCCAGATAGACACAGTCAACCCAATCACCTCTTTCCTGTAGTACAGTATCTCTGTGGCTCTATTATAAAAATTAAGATTTTTTACACAGGATCTTCCTGTTCGAAATCATACTATCTGTCCGTTATTATGTCATTACTCTCTAGGTGTTCAGCCCATTTATCCTTATTGTTTCTAGTGTTTTGACTACCACACATGTTAACACTTAGCTGCCCAGGTTGCATGTCCCAGCCCTCCCCAAGGTGGGCCTGACATTTCCCGTGAGCACACAACCACACTAAAATGTGTAATCTGTACTCTTTCAGTTTTCTCACATCAGTGTTTTACACTGTTCATTTTGGTATCAAACTATTCGCAATAGAATTATCTAAAGGGATATATGCATATAAGGTTAAAACGCCCAGTGTGCCACCCGCAGTTTTATTTCATCGAGGATTGCTTTCAGCTTTTCTCTGAATTCTTTTGAGAGTTCTTGTTTTATTGACCAAAGTTTGCCATCCTCAATGCTATGCAATTTACTTGCATTTTTAAGCACTTCCATCATTTGTTTACCTCCATTAAATGTCACCCTTAATGGGGCAATTTTTGTTCTACACATGTCTTCCTATCCTCCTAAAATCACTGACATTTTCCTTTGAATTGAGTAGTCAGTAGTAAGTGTTGTATCTGTAGTCAGGATCCTGCATTATGTGTTAAAATAAAATCCAGATCATCCACAGTGAAAAGCTCAATCCCCTGAGTCCTCAGAGGGGCCTGACAGCCAAGTGGACAGTGCACGGGGTTTATAGTCCTGCGGTTCCGGGTTCGATCCCCGGTGGAGGCAGAAACAAATGGACAGTTTCTTTCACTCTGATGCTCCTGTTCACCTGGCAGTAAATAGTTACCTGGTAGTTAGACAGCTGCTACGGGCTACTTCCTAGGGTTGTCTAACAAATAGGAGGCCTGGTCAAAGACCAGGCTGCAGGGACGCTCAGCCCTGAAATCATCTTGAGATAACTCAAGATAACCCAAAATACTGTGCTTGCTCCCGCACTTTTTCTCATCCTCATATCGGACACAGACAAAGATATAAACAATAGTAGTGCATCATCCTTTGCAGAGGACACTAAAATTTTTATGAGAGAACACAATATAGAAGACAAAGCATACTTCCAATACGGTCTTACATTGAGCCACAGAAAATAATAGGATGTGAAAATCATTTTGAGGCAATGGAGTGACTTGAACCAGCGTTCTGATGATTCCCAGATACATGCTTTAACCGACTGTGTCACGATGGTACAAAAGTCTGGCCTCCACATTAAGAGGTACTGGAAGCCCCAAACTGGAGCCCCGCATCCCAAATCCTTATCCTGACCCTTTCCCAGTGCTATAAAGTCGTAATGGCTTGGCACTTTTCCCTGAAAATTAAAATTAAAATCAACCAGGGTTTTACAGTCGACCAAACCACACATTCTGGTCTACAGTAATAGCGCTCACGCTATGCCCCCACTACATAAATGACCACAATACAAATTTACATTTGGTTGGTAAAACAAATTGTACTTACTTTTTTCATAAGTTGGACTAAAAACTGAGTGGCCATTGTGTCCATGTAAGTCTTCATCTGCCTTATTTGAAACAGTCTGGATATTATTTTAGATAGCATCTCAGAGTTTCTATTTGCTTGACCAGATCGAATCAGGGCACCATAAGCTAGAAGTTCTCCCACAACTTGCTCCTTGGCTTCCTATCAATGCAGAATGAATTACAAAAAATGTTTAATAATTCAGCTAACAAAAATAATCCACCTTCAACATTACGTTACAGAATTTGCACCTTTTTTTTCACCAGAATGTAAATCTTGATAAGTGAGAGAAACTTTCCAATTCATGTGACATCGTGGTGCCATCACACTCAAAAATATAACAATAGAAGTCGGTGAATAATCATCACTATCACCATACTTCTCCCAGATCTATTTTTGCTATAAACAAACAAAATATGGGCTGGAGAGTACAGTACTCAACATTTACATTTAATTATAAGTGTTGTTAAAAAAAAAAAACAGGGTTGAATGTAATGAAACACCATTTTCTGAAAGAGCCCCGGAGGCTTCCTGAAGCTATCCAAACTGACATGTGGCATCAGTTTGGTGTCATCAATCCCTTAAGTTCTGTGCCTACCTGAGACCACAAAAGCCAGAACCTGGTCCCTTCAGAGAGGTGCAAGGAGCAATGGCCATATGAGCACTCTACATTTAGAGTACAGTATGTCATGTCTGCCTTCGACCAGGGAAAGCCCCCAGAAAGATAGGTGAACCAATACAAACCCTCTACTGGTGAAAACTGTAACTTATGTCCAAACAGAGGCAAAGAATTCCCCCCCCCCCCCCCGGCACGCATAGACGAGGTAAAACACCTAAATTATTGGGATCGTCTCAAAGCTCTCCAAATGTACTCTCTAGAAAGGAGATGAGAGAGATACCAAATAGTATACACATGGAAAATACTAGAGGGTCAGGTCCCAAATCTACACAGTAAAATAACAACGTACTGGAGTGAACGATATGGAAGAAAATGCAAGATTGAACCAGTAAAGAGCAGAGGTGCCATAGGCACAATCAGAGAGCACTGTATAAACATCAGAGGTCCGCGGTTGCTCAACGTCCTCCCAGCGACTATAAGAAATATTGCCGGAACAACCGTGGACATCTTCAAGAGAAAACTGGACGGTTTTCTAAGAGAAGTTCCAGATCAGCCGGGCTGTGGTGGGTATGTGGCCCTGCGGGCCGCTCCAAGCAACAGCCTGGTGGACCAAACTCTCAAGTCGAGCCTGGCCTCGGGCCAGGCTTGGAGAGTAGAAGAACTCCCAGAACCCCATCAACCAGGTAACCCCCCCCCCCAAAGAAAATAAGCTTATTGTCATCCAACTAGCACCCCCCCCCCTTCCTATCCCAAAAGCAAGCCGGCAGCTCACCCCACAAGTTCGTAGGTTGATGAAAAAACGCCGCCAACTGGAGGGAAAGAGGGGTGTCAGGGAGCCACCGAGGCTCACTCAGAAAATGGCGTTTAATTACATTCAATGCTGGTTTTCCGTGGAGAACCACGGCGGCTCCCAGAAGTTAACTTCCCATAGATAAATAAAAACAGGGACTTACCCTGGAGGCAGCAGCACTGCTGGTTTCACTACGAAGAAGAGACAACAAGCAACGATAGATGTCCCAAAGCAACACGAAGGCCAGAGAGGGGCCTAGAACGTTCACAAGACACTCAGCTGACAAAGACCCTGTTCGAGCTCCAAAATCCCTGTGCCCAATTGTTGACCCAAAATACATCACCAAAGAAAGCGACCAAAGCAGCATACTTACGCGCATCATGGGCACGAGGGTAGACTGCAGGCTGACTAGACTTTACGAACCTGTGGACAACCAATGAAACAAGTCCTGGAACAGGGAACCAGAGAAACCATACCCATCCAGAGCGCATCCACGGACATTGAACCAGTGGCCCGCAGGTAGCGACGTAAAGCCGCCACCGGACATAAGACATGATGCACTCCCGGCCTAACCAACAAAGCATCACAACCAATGGGACCCCACCGGAAGCCAGTCCTCACATTCTTGGCCAGAAAAGGAGAGGGCTGCAAATGAAAAAAACAACTATCAGGACCAAAAGAACAGAACCCCCGGCGCCAGAGAAGAGCATGAAGCTCCCCAACCCGACACCCAAGAGGCCAAAGATAACAAAAACAAGGCATTCATAAAACAATCCCGAACCGAAAGGGCCATCAAAAACCATGGGTAGTAAAGAAAAAGAGAGCACCCGGTCCAAAGACCAAGACTGTTCAGGCGGCACATGAGCATGCCGAAGGTGAAAAACACACGAGAACGCTTGCGGAACGGAACAGAAATGACATCACGATTAGAAGCGAGAGTATTCGCCATATGCCAGTCAAGAAAATGCCAAGAAAAGAAAAGACAAAACAACCCTAACAGACACCAACACCACCCTATGAAGGAAAATGAAATGGCGGAAAGACTACCAGGAGACTTCATACTGTCTCTGAGAAGACCGCAAGTGGGACACCATCAAAGAAGCCCCCTGATCACCATACAAGTGGCGATATACCTGCCTCAAAAAAACTAGATGTGAAGAGCAGAACACTCACTTGTACGTCATAGCCTGACATACAAGTTAGCCGACTGATCAGGTACCCTTTGAAGGTGCTTGTCAAGTTCTCTTTTGAACAATGCGAGAGGACAGCCAGTAATGCCCCTTATGTGTAGGGGTAAGTGTTGAAAAGTTTTGGGCCTTTGATGTTGATCTAGTTCTCTCTCAGCGAACCTTTTGCACCTCTGCTCATCAGTGTGCAGAGGTACACTATTTTACACATTCTGCCATGCCTTCTGGTCTCATATGGTGTTATGCAGGTTCCAAATCTGCATGACTGGTTCCAAACCTGCATGAACATTTGAAACCATCTTTCTAATATTTTCCAATTATTATGTATAATAATTTTCCTAAATGTTAACCTTTTCCAAAATGTAAATTAAAATTACAAAACCCAAGCTGCGTAACAAGAGATGTCAGATGTACATGAACAATTTATAATGAAATATAAAGTAAATCTAGCAGCAAAACCCCAATGCACTTGGTGGTTCTGAAATATTTAACACTAAAATTGTCCATAATTACTCACATCTTTACTGAATGCATTATTGAGACAACATTTTTCTGTAACGGTGAGGAAAACCAAGGAAACAACAGAAGGTTGCAGCTGCAGCAATGCTTGTAGTGTAGTGTAAAAACCCTCTCGAGCCCTTGGCCTGCTTGATAGTAGCCCACTGACAAGCCGCTTGACGATGTATGCAATGTCATCAGATAGCACAGTCTCCTATAAAATTTAAAATATAATCAGATATGTTTCAATCTTAAGTGGGAAATAGAAACAGGCATTCTCCTACAATAGACAATATAATGCAGTACTGTATTATATATTCTTAGATATATGTACAATAAGCTATATATAGTAGTTTTAATTTTTTACCATAGAACTGTAGGCCACAATCTATAACCAGATTAGTCAAGCACTGAATGTAATGAAATACCCTTTTCTTTTGGAGCCCTCATAAGAACATAAGAACATAAGAACAAAGGTAACTGCAGAAGGCCTATTGGCCCATACGAAGCAGCTCCTATTCTATAACCACCCAATCCCACTCATATACTTGTCCAACCCGTGCTTGAAACAATCGAGGGACCCCACCTCCACAATGTTACGCGGCAATTGGTTCCACAAATCAACAACCCTGTTACTGAACCAGTATTTACCCAAGTCTTTCCTAAATCTAAACTTATCCAATTTATATCCATTGTTTCGTGTTCTGTCCTGTGTTGATACTTTTAATACCCTATTAATATCCCCCCGGTTATGTCCATTCATCCACTTGTAAACCTCTATCATGTCACCCCTAACTCTTCGCCTTTCCAGTGAATGCAACTTAAGCTTTGTTAATCTTTCTTCATATGAAAGATTTCTAATTTGGGGAATTAACTTAGTCATCCTACGCTGGACACGTTCAAGTGAATTTATATCCATTCTATAATATGGCGACCAAAACTGAACTGCATAATCTAAATGGGGCCTAACTAGAGTAAGATATAGCTTGAGAACCACACCAGGTGTCTTGTTACTAACGCTGCGATTAATAAATCCAAGTGTCCGATTTGCCTTATTACGAACATTTATGCATTGATCCTTTTGTTTTAAATTCTTACTAATCATAACTCCCAGATCCCTTTCGCAATCCGACTTCGCAATCACAACACCATCTAGCTCGTATCTTGTAACTCTATCATCATTACCTAACCTATAGCACCTTTACCTTTACCTATACATTACCTAATCAGTAGCACCATTGAGCTAGGCACTGGTCAAGCTATGGTTTAGGGAAATATGAACTTAAGAATAAAGGTACTTACGAAAGGCCTATTGGGTCATAGAACAGATAACAGTTCCTATCTATATCCACCCATATACAGTACAGTACAATTATATATATATTATATATTATATTAATATATATATAAATATATATATATATATATATATTATATATTATATTATATATTATATTATATATTATATTATATATTATATTATATATTATATTATATATTATATTAATATATATATATATATATATATATATATATATATATATATATATATATATATATATATATATATATATATTATATATATATATATATATATATATATATATATATATATGTAGTAGAACTGTAGAACTGTGTGTATATATACACACAGTTCTACATACAGCGAATGTGTAATTTGTTGTGATCTGTAAATTATCAGGCTAACTTAGACCATCAATGGCAGTCTTGAGAACTAACCTCGTGGTCCGCCTGGCTAGATTCTGCATGTTTGAGAATAATGATGGCTGCTTCAGCCTGCCGATGCGTGTCCTCCGTCACTAAACTTCCAAAAGCATCGAGAACATTTCTGGGCACAGTAAACCTGGGCCTAGTTGCGGTATTCGGCTCCGGCTGCTGGTCCTCCATGGTGCTGCTACACGGCGCCATCAATGTTTACACCGGCCAGGGATCCCACACCTAAATTGTTAAACCTAGCCAGCTGAAGGTCTAAAAGTTCCGAACATGTAATAAAAGTAGACCAATATTTTGTTTGTGACTGATTCATGATTATTATTATTATTATTATTATTATTATTATTATTATTATTATTATTATTATTTACATAACATAAGATTTGCCTTATTACGAGCATTCATGCATTGATCCTTTGGTCTTAAATTCTTACTAACCATAGCACTTTAACAGAATTTTCTCCTACAGATCTATTCCATTCTATGCTAAATCTGATTTCTTTGTGATCACTGTTCCCTAGCTCACTCCCTACTTTGATGTCATTAATTTGTGTTTCCCTGTTAGTTAACGCTAAATCTAAAATAATATTAGTACAGAGGGAAAATAACGGGGGCAGGGGAAGCAAGACGCATGGACCTAAGAAATTTAAATATTCCAATGATCAGCAAGTCAAGGGGTGGGAGAGAATGCTACGGAGTGCACAAAGAATGGTTAAAATATGGAATGAGGGATGAAGAGAAAAATACAATGTTGGAAGTGGCTAGGGAATGCAGTCAGGTGAGGAAGGAGGCGCGGGACAGATACTGGCAAGACTTTGCTCAGTCCATTGGTAATACTAAGAACCTTAAAGACATATGGAGAGCAGTAAACAAAGTCAGGGGTTGTAAGACCAAATTCATTGCTCATTCAGATCCAGGGAAAGTTGCTAATGAGTTAGTAGATAAATGGGCTAGTGCTGCTGGTATGGAGTCCTTACCTGCAGACACGAGTCACCATTGAGTCATGGGAAAATATTAGAAATGGAGTAACTTTATGTGCCTTAAATACAAGATCTATAACATGCACTGAGATAACTCACGATGAGCTACTGGATGCTATAAAAAGTGGCAGCTCTACTGCTCCGGGAAAAGATGCTGTAACGTATGACAATTATTTAGCCGGTATGAAACCTAGTCCCTTACTTGATTTGTTTAATATGAGTTATAGAGAGGGAAAGTTACCAAGAAAATGGAAAGAGGCTGTCATCATTCCTATCCCTAAGTCTAACGGAGGCTACAGACCTGTCTCCTTAATATCCTGCTTTTGTAAAATGATGGAAAGGATTTTGTTAAATAGGCTACTCTACCTTGTAGGTGATAACATGTCCAGTAATCTCTTTGGTTTTATCAAAGGCAAAAGTACTGAGGATTGTCTCTTAAAGTGTTTGTCTAATGTGGATGACAATTGTAGAGTTTTTGTTGATCTACAAGGAGCATTTGATAAAGCCAATGGGGAAGTAATCTTATACGAATTAGCCAATCTGGGAATAACAGGGAGATTGCTACACTGGATAAGGGATTATCTACAAGGCAGAAAAGGTCAGGTGTATTACCAGGGTTACATGTCTGAGGAACGGAGGTTTCAGTTAGGTACCCCACAAGGGGGAGTATTAAGTCCCACCTTATTCAATGTATTAATGAACAGATTAGCATCAGAGATGTATCCTCCAGGGGTCACGACGATCATATATGCTGATGACATTCTTATACAAGGCACTTCTGGGAACAAAATTCAAACTGCTCTTAACATACTTGGTACAACCTGTCACAAGTTAGGCTTAGTTATAAATGCAGATAAAACCAAATACGAGTATAGGAAACGAAGAAATATAACACTTACTCTAAATGGTGTGGAACTGAGCCGTGTTCAGAAGTACAAGTATCTGGGCATGTATGTTGGATACACATGTGAGTAAAAATGCTGAAATAAATCATATCAGCACCTTATGTAAAGCCCGTCTGCATCCTCTGAAAGCACTGGCTTTTTCTGGTAAAGGTGTTGGGGTACCTATCTTGCGGATGTTATACATAAGTACTGTTCGGTCCCTGATAGACTACGCAGCACCCGTATTGTCTTACACAGGCCAAGGCAGAATTCAAAAAATAGAGCTGATACAGAACGAGGCTATGAGGATTATTCTTGGATGTCAAAGAAATGCAATGATTGAAATAATGAGAATGGAATTAAATTTACAGTGTGTGTGATAGAGTCTGTGACATTAACACTAGAGTATCTATTCGTTTCATGCGGAGAAAAGGAGGGGATAAGCTGTTTGAGAGCGTTCAGACCTGCTTGAGTGACGTACACACTTCCAGGAAACTGAGGGAGACACGCTACACGAGGGGATTAACTCATGACCTCAGGGAATACGACGTACTTGACTGCTGTAAACCCTCTCGACAGTGTAATATGTCTGCTCCCTGCAAAGTACAGAAAATAGACGTCGAAATTGTACCCCTCAAGGCGAAAAAGATTCATCATGAACCGGGACAATTACGGTGTTTGTATGGAAGCATGATATCTCGGTTACCAAGAGGCAACAGTTTACATGTATATTGCCACGGGTCGGTGGCGGAGGATGGCAGGGCCGGGTGTGGTGTCCTAATAAGGGATTATACGGAGTTTGGGACTATGGACAGGATAATTGAACTCCGGCTTAGTAATTATATATCATCCACACAAGCTGAACTGCAGGCCATTCTGGCGTGTTTGGAGGAAGTACGTCATGACGACAAAAATGTTTTTGTATTTGTCGATAGCCGAGGAGCACTGGAGTCCTTAAACAGTCGAAACCCAGTCTTCATGTCTATAGTTGAGGACTGTAAGAGAAGAATAACTGAGATACAGCTGAAAGGTTATAGTGTGAAATTCATGTGGATTCCATCTCATGTTGGAATAGTGCTCAACGAGGTGGCGGATGACTTGGCCAAACGTGCCACATCAAAACCACAAGTTGACATTGAATGTGAATTCACAATGAGACAAATAAGAAGCAAAATCAGAAATATTCAGGCACAGGCGGGAGTGGAGAGGAGAGAGATAATGTATGAGAGTAGTCAAACCATGCAACACTACATGTATGTGAGTCAAAACACCCATTTCACTTATGGTAAAAGGAGAAATGCTTGGAGTGACTGTACATGCGGCTCAGGCTTGGGTACAAATATTACTGGGAATATGGGATAGATGTTCATGATAATGACACGAAGTGTAAACTATGTGGTATGTTAAGGTCTCACACCCTGGCCCATTATGTTCTTGATTGTCCGTTGATTAATGTATATAGAAACACTGAGATAAGGACTGTTCCTGAACAAATAGCCTGGATGTGTCACAACGGAAAGGTTGATATTCTTGAGAGATATAAGAATTTTGCACCAAGATTGTAATATTTTGTTGAATTATCTGCATGTCTCTTGCAAATTGTCTATACAGTATACCTAGGTCATAAAAGTATTTGTGTGTACGTCTGATAACATACTCCTTGTGAAGGAGGAAATGTATATGTTTACCTCTCAGAATGTTTGGCAATATGTTTATTTGTGATGTGTGTCTATGTATATATTAACACGTTGTACTGAATGGGGTGAGAATAGCTTGAGCTACCTCATCCCTTTGTGTGTATTTTACCTCAATAAACTTATTTCAATTTCAATTTCTGTCTAAATTTGGTGGCCTATATATAACTCCTATTATTAGATTAGGCGGACATAAACAATTATAGACCAGTATCAAATCTACCCATTCTATCAAAAATATTTGAAAAAATTATTTACAAACAGCTCTATTCCTACCTCGTAAAATTCGACATACTCAGCCCCTGCCAGTTTGGCTTCCGGTCCCAAAAGAGCACCAACGATGCAATCATTAGTCTCCTTGACATTATCTACTCAGCCCTTGACAAAAATGAGTTTCCGATCGGACTCTTCATTGACCTAAGAAAAGCCTTTGATACTGTTAATCACAACTACCTCTTACTTAAACTCCAGCATTATGGAATCCGAGGCCTTGCCCTTGACTACATCCGATCCTATCTTAGTGACAGACACCAATATGTAACCATCAATGATACAACTTCTTCCACTCTACCAATTACCGTTGGAGTGCCACAGGGCAGCATCTTAGGACCTCTTCTATTTCTTATATATATAAACGATCTGCCTAATGTCTCTAATATTCTCAAACCTATATTGTTTGCTGACGATACTACCCTTATCTACTCAAACCTCAACCCACATACACTAAATAATGTTGTGAATAATGAATTAAAAAAAGTCCACTTATGGATGTCAACGAACAAACTAACATTAAACATCGAAAAGACTTACTACATCTTATTTGGAAGCAAATCATCAAATGCAATTCAGCTACAGATAGACAACATTAACATCAGTAATAAAAATGATGGCAAGTTTCTTGGCCTATTCCTAGACAAGAGACTCAACTTCAGCACCCACATTCAACACATAACTAAGAAAGTCTCTAAGACAGTTGGTATACTCTCCAAAATCAGATATTATGTTCCTAACTCTGCTCTCCTCTCACTATATTATGCACTAATCTACCCCTATCTTAATTATGGTATCTGTGCATGGGGGTCTACCACTGCAAACCACCTTAAGCCCATCATCACACAGCAAAAATCTGCTATCAGAATAATAACTAACTCTGCTTTCAGACAACACTCAGCTCCCTTGTTTAAATCCCTAAACTTGCTAAATATTAACTCCCTCCACACATTCTCTTGTGTCAACTACATTTACAAAACCCTGTTCTTAAATGCAAACCATGCTCTGAAACTCTCCCTGGACAGATGTAATAGGACCCATTATCACCACACCAGAAATAAATATCTCTTTGATATCCCCAGGGTCAAACTTAATCTGTGTAAACACTCTATGCAAATTAAGGGACCTAGTCTATGGAACTCACTCCCTAGTGAATTGAAAAACTGTAAAACTTTTGCCTTATTTAAAAGCAAAACCAAAAAGTACCTAACTTCATCTTCTTAGTTTCCTACACTGAGCTTTAAATTTGCTCTGTACCTAGTGTTACCCAATCTCCTAATTTTTATGTAATATCAAACAACCTTATCATTGTGTTCATTGCTGTCTTCTTTTATGTGCTAGCCATATGCTGTATTGTGACTACCAATTTTTGTCAACTACCATTCAAGCTGTCATTG